AATGCCTGCCATACAAATTATGAATTTGCAAGAGTACTTACAGCTCCGCTTCTTGTTGTTTTCCTTCATTCTTGTTTTACAATAAGATTGTTATTTACTTACACCGAAGTGAGCATCAAATTGATCGTATTAATGGCCATAACTAGTTTATCCCGCCCCTTCTATCAGCAGGGTCTGAGGATTATACACGCAGATTTCCATTACAGAACAATGGGCAATGGGCAATGGGCCATGGGGTGGCATGGTAGCATCTATCAGCCAAACGGAGCATTAATGCAATTTCAATGAACCTTGAGCTACGGTCAAAACAACGGAGAGCAAATCCGGGGAAACACTCTTTTTCGATTTGCGGCTCCTGTCTGTCTGTCCTGTCCCTTTTGAACGAAGGAGTCCAACCCCACCTGAATCCTCGAGTGCCGTGCTGTTTGATCCGCTTGTTTTTATGCCCATGCCCGGCACACAATTTGTTTTAGCTACGAAATGAGGGGGGTTCCATCCTGGCTCTGCTCCTGCTTCTGGTGCTGGTCCTGGTCCTGCCATCCTGTGCATCTCCCACAGGAATTCCCAGGCAATATAACTGAAAGCAAAAATGAAGATAACAGTCAGCACGGCAAGTGCAAATCCACCCGTCCATTTAACAACTTGTACCACCCTCCTCCTCCTCCTCCTCCTCCTCCGCCCACTCCCACTCCCACCAGATACAAACACTCGCAGTCGCTGTGGCAGTGGCAGTGGCAGTGGCACTCGCATCGCTCTCCCCCTGCGGCACTCTCTGCTCAACCTATGGCTAAACCAACTAACTGCCTTTTTACTCGGCGCGTCTGTGGGCGATTGGTATGCCCCTGTTTGATGCTTGTAAAGACCACTTTACCCGCTATAATAAAAATAAATCATAATATTTTCCTCCTCTTGTTTGCGCCCCTGCCATCCTGACATCCAGACATCCTGCCTCATGCACACGCCCATTCACAGTGGGTTGAGACATTTCGGATTGGCCGTAAATATGGGCTCGGAGTCATCTGTGGAGAAATAAAGGGATTTCCTTGTATGAAATTGTGCATTAAATGGGGCTTTATAAAAGTTTTTTCGCCCACTGTGGTCGATTGTTTTTTATTTAAATTTGAACAACTGAAATTTAATTTCAAGTTTTGGGTAATTTTTACAGAAGCTACGTTCCTATTTTTGTGGGTTTTTTTCATGGTATTTTCTACAAAAAATAAAGTTCTTCAGAACCATAAAACTCTTACATCCTCTCACATAGTCAGTTAAAGAAGAAGATTAAGATTATAGTTATAGAAGCAGTCTCCAAGCTCCATACAATTTGCATAAGTGCCCTCATTCAGACAATATTCAGCGGAATTCAGACAATATTCCGCTGAATATTGTCTTCCACAGAGATGCACAGAACCCCTTGACTTTCCCCTGTATTCTACGATAATTTCATCTTCGACATGACATCTTCCACTGTACTTCGAAGGCAATATCCAATCGATCACAAACCACTGTGCCACACGGCCATGCGACGTTTACCTTTGTTTCTACCGGTACATTTTTGGATGCTACTGTTGCTGTGGCTGTTATCCCGGAGGTTGTAACCCCGGATAATGTACTTAATGCATCTACATATTAATGTCGCACCGCCGAAAAAAAAGGGAGGAGGAAGTGAAGGTGATGGTGAATCTGGTGGTGGCGGGGAAGTGGCAGTCCGTGCCATCCCCGACTCTGAATCCGACTTGGATAGTAAGCTTGTTCGCTACTTTGTATGTAATTTCTATTACCGTGTCCCCCCCGGCCCTAGAATTTTCTCGCCCTTCCACCCGCGCTGCTTGAAATCCCCCGTGTCCTTGCTGTCCTTGTGTGTGTGTGCAGCGTGTCGTTGTACTTTTTGTTGTTTTTATTGCACAGACTTGCGACGCACCGGGTCGGAGGGTCGAGAGCCCAGCGCCGAGCCGTGTGATTGCCACTTTCCCCCATCCTCCTTCTGGCTGCACTTGTTCCACAGCCGTGTGCGTGACGTGAGACTGTGTGTGTGTCTGTGTCCCGGTTATATTGATATGTCTCCCAGTAGAGCAGGCCCAAACAGCCGGTAGCACAGTTAAGCCGGGACCGCAATGTGTAAAAAATTACGAGGAACATTGAAACGAGAAAAAAAAAGAAGGAAAAAAGCCCCAGAATTGAAACAGGAGCACGGGAGGACGAAGGGTGGAGATGGTTGGCGGCAGGTGGTTGCCGGAGGCGGGTAAACTCCGTAGTTTCTGGTTGTGTCCTCCTTCCTCTTCGTCCTTTTCTCTTCCGTGCCACTTCTTCTTCATTATTTTGGGCCCAGGCTTCAGTCCTGCTGACTGCCACTGGCACGCATGATGAGCCAGCAACAATATGTTGCCGTTAACCCTGAAACTTATTAGTGTGTGTGTGTGTGTGTGTGTGTGCTTATGTTTGTGTGCTCGAGTGTGTGTGAGAGAGCGTGGAAGTTGTTGGTTGAACAACTTTATGAGCCGCCTGTCGAAGCCTTTACACTCAAAGGAGTCACCAAATTATACTTCTATCTATTCAAAGTTGGAAAAACGCTTTATGAGAAGTGTATAAGACCCCAAAATGCCTCATTTGTTCAGTTATAGATGCGTCCGGCTATAGTAGGACCAATTTGTCTAGTAAGAAATTCAAGAGGTGGGCAAATTTCAATGAGGTATTGATCATTACACAACGATCGTTCGACCCATCAAACTTAATGCGAATTTATGCAAAGTACGAAAAAATCTCATGCCCATGAGATCCGATCCGAAACAGATATATATGATATATACTAACTTCAGTAAATAAAGCGAAGGTCTCTTTTATTTTTGCCATTATAATATATTTTGTATCGGCATTCCAATGCAATTCGATTATGAATATTGATGGAATTGCCCTTGATCAGTCATCTGTTCGCGATAGTTATTGAAATGAAGCGATAAAAACGCCGATGATGGATCGTTAAACTTTAAAGGATTGTGGGTTTCATTTATTGCAATGGCTATAAAAATTCGTACACTCAAAGGTTCCTCAACGGTCATATATTGCTGATTTTGATAGTGCTTGGAAACGGTTCGATAGCGACCCCCATTTCGAGCAGTGTAGATGGTCCTGGGAACTCCCTTGCTGAATCTCGCTCCCCTGTACGCTCGCACGGGTGCTCGTGCTCTCCCCCTTTTGATTTCCGGCCGATCAGAGCGGCTAAAGGTAAAAAGTAAAAGTAAGTAAGGCCACGACATAAACCCCTCGACACCCGTGCCTGCCCAGGAACTCACCCCGTGTCTGGCGGATATAAAAGTAAAATAAAATCTATTACGTGGCAAACCACCCCACATTTATGTGGCAATTTGTTGTTTCTCGATTGTGTCTGTGTGTGTATGCAGTAGAAAATAAGTAAAGTGTATCATTTTCCCATTTGTCGACCCCTTTTGCTGCTCCCCAGCACCACCATCCCGGCAGATCGGCAGGATACGAGTCCTTCTCGCACTTTGTCTCAATTCCCAAAACTGTCGCCCCGGCCGTTGCAATTTATGAAGATTTGTGTGTGGCCGGTGCGGCCGGGGAAGGGATGGGAGGGTTAGAAAGAGCACTTCTGCGCCCCGCCCAAACAGTTACGGGGTTATAAGACCTCCATCCGCATGAGAGCAGGAAAGCAGGATAGCAGGATGGCAGGAGAGCAGTAGAGATGCGCCCTCGTTCCGGGCGTGCACTTGTTTTGATTTGTTTGGAATAATAACAGATGCTTACCGTTCATATTATTCATTGTTCAAATTATTAACGCTTGACAATAAAAATTGGTGTTTGAACAGCTCTTGAAATATATACTCCCAGATATACTCGTACACACAGACACACACAATAGTTGCTCCTGTCGGCTCGACTGACTGACTGTGTGCCTTCCGCCTTCAGCATCCTTGGGACCACCGATGGACTGGGGGGAGGACGTGAGCGTCCGAACGGCTGAACAGCAAATTGCAATTTGTGCAAATATTTATGTACATTGAAAATTACTCATTTGTGTAACACCAATTAATTTCAACAAACAGCAACAGCCGAACAACAAAGGCCAAGCCATTTATAAAACTTTGTTGCTGTTGTCCTTCGGTACTCTGGTTAAACAAATCGAGGAAATGAGGTCTCCTTTGTTTCCCCAAAATAAACGATGCTGCTGCTGTTTGTTTGCGGTGCAGAAAGGAGAACACAGCGGGGCACGGCAGAGTGGAGTGGAATGGAATGGAGTGGAGTAGAGTGGAGTAGAGTGGACTGGAGCTGTTCGAGGGGTGGGTCACTCAGAGAGTTTGCCAAGTCTCTTGTGCAGGTGCACCACCATCCCACCGGCGCCCCAAACCCAAACGCAAGCCCCAGGCAGAACAACAGTTCAATCCATGCTCCAGATGGATGGAGGGACAGACCGTTGCCTCATTATTAGGCCACTGCATTTGATACTCCATCTTTCGAAGCCGCCCTTCCAGCCACTTGCCACTCGCCACTTCAGCTTGTTTGCGTTGCAATTTTTCAAGCGACGCTGACAAATTGCAGCTAATTACAGGCACAACTAAATGGAAGAACCCACGGCCACAGCCCAAAAGCGAGCGCGAACGGGCGATGTGTAGCCCTCGGAGAAACACTTCAAGTTTGCCACTCAATCAGTTCTAATGAAAACAAATAGTTGGAAACAGGCCCTTCCGTGGTGGGACTTGATGAAGAAGCAAAACTTTAAGTATTATTTATCAACAGTACTAATTTAGCTAGGAACTTTAGTAGATACATAGAACTAGGCAACGTTGAAGACAACGTTTAATTTTGTAGATGTCCTTTTCTTGCAACATCATCATCAATGTTAACATTGAGATTCTGGATCGATTGAAATGGGAAACTGGTAGGAAAGGCAACCTGAAAAACACTTCAAACGTCAAATGTCAATCAACCCAAACAGTATTGCTATTCATCGTCACAAATAAAGAAACACTAGTATTTTAAACTCGATCCAAATTTTCTTGGCAAAATTCTAAACCACGTTCTCGCCGGTCCTGTCCACTCTACTTCCGTTGCACATCCAATACATCCGTATCCGGATCCGCTTCCGATTCCGGTTCCGAAGAGTAACGTGAACGTCACGCGAGTGACAGGGAGAGAGAAACCAGACTAAGACGTAATCTGGACGAACGGATGACCCAGAATAGTCTACCAAAAGGATCAAATATCTGCGGATCAATGAATCTGCATTGAAGCGGAGTTTCAAGCGATAAAAGATAAAAGATCAAGATCAGGAGGTATCAAACATCGTCACGCCAACCGATAGAAGGAAGTATCCAAGACGGGAAAGGGAAGAAGGCTTTTGAGACTCTTAATCGGGGCTCCTATCAATTTATTTCTATCAATGGTTCGACCAAAAGCGGCCCAGCCACAAGAGGCAGGCGCATCCATGGCTACTCAGGCGACTAAACGACCGGATAGCTCCGCTAACTCTGGCGGACCCGCCAACTCTGCAAAGGCCCCCATGTCCGAGGTGCTCAACCTGGACAGTATCATCTCCCGCCTGCTGGAGGTGCGTGGCTCTCGTCCCGGCAAGAACGTTCAGCTGGCGGAGGGTGAGATACGCGCCCTCTGTCTGAAGATGCGCGAGACCGTGCTGACGCAGCCCATACTCTTGGAGCTGGAGGCGCCGCTGAAGATCTGCGGCGACATCCACGGTCAGTACTATGACCTGCTGCGGCTGTTCGAGTACGGCGGCTTCCCGCCAGAGTCCAACTATCTTTTCTTGGGTGACTACGTCGACCGCGGCAAGCAGTCGCTGGAGACTATTTGCCTGCTGTTGTCATACAAAATCAAGTACTCTGAAAACTTTTTTCTGCTGCGCGGTAACCACGAGTGCGCCAGCATTAACCGTATTTACGGCTTCTACGACGAGTGCAAGCGCCGCTACTCCATCAAGCTGTGGAAGACCTTCACCGACTGCTTCAACTGCCTGCCAGTGGCGGCCATAGTCGACGAGAAGATCTTCTGCTGCCACGGCGGCCTCAGTCCGGACCTCACCGCAATGGAGCAGATTCGCCGCATCCCGCGGCCCACCGACGTCCCTGACCAGGGCCTCCTCTGCGACCTGCTCTGGTCCGATCCCGACAAAGACACCGTCGGCTGGGGCGAGAACGATCGCGGGGTTAGCTTCACCTTTGGCGCGGAGGTTGTTGGTAAATTCCTCCAGAAGCACGACCTCGATCTCGTCTGCCGTGCCCACCAGGTGGTCGAGGATGGGTACGAGTTCTTTGCCAAACGCCAGCTGGTCACCCTCTTCTCGGCCCCCAACTACTGCGGCGAGTTCGACAATGCCGGCGCCATGATGTCCGTCGATGACACGCTTATGTGCTCGTTCCAGATCCTTAAGCCCGTCGAGAAGCGCAAAAAGTAGGCGCAAGGAGTTGGCGCACTCCTACTATAGCACCAGAGTAAACAGATGTTCCAAATTCCAAAGCTCTATAGAGGTTATTTATGTTGATTAAAATAAATAGATATTTTGTTAGTCGAAAAAAATTCCTAATAGGCTGAAGATTTTCTTGTGTATTTTAATATTAATATAATATTTACGTCATTGACGATGTCTCTAAAATGAAAAAAATAAAAAAGGAATGACAGTCTCACACAGTGTCTCGAAATGTCTTCTTCAAATAGTATTAACTTGTAGCTATTTTTGAAGCGTTTGCTTGTAAATAATATTGCAAATTGTTAAAGTTGACCTTCCCCAGCAGCTTGCTAATCCAAGAGCAACCCAATTTTCTTTGGACCAAAATTCCCCACATGTGGGCTAAGCCACGGATATATCCTGCAACAAGATGCCGAAGGTCCTCAGACAGCGGGAAAGTATGCTACGAAAGCAGGGAGGGGTCGGACTCCAGGTCGAATTTTCGGTTGTATCAGTCGGTGTTTGATGACAAAAGTCAGCGCCATAATATATTAACAATGCTTAAAAATTAATGAACAACAACACAGCACACACACACACGTGCAGAGAGTGGGAGTGAGGGTGGGAGTGGGAGTGGGTGTGGAAGTGGAAGAGGGAAAACAGACAGACAGACAACACACAAATACAAAACGAGCGAAAGAGGCAACAACAAATTGCGCCAAAAACGCTTTATTATGTCAAAATATGCCAAAAACAACAGGGAAAACCCCAAGAAACAGAAAGAAGGAAGAAAACTGGCAAAAAGTGGGAAAAAAAAGGAAAAATAAAATCCAGTGACAACAGCAAATTACATTATATATATAATGAGGTCATTTGCGCGTAAACAATCAGAGACACCCACCAGAAGCCGGAAAGAGAGAAACGAAGAAAAGGCAGAAAGAAAAGCGAGCCGAAGGATAGGGGGACACCAGGCCATAGTCACATGTTTATCCACAAACTGGCAAATAAATAAGTGATGCTCGCAGATTTGTTAATAAATTATAAAGCACAAGCGCGCACAACTCGAAGAGAAAAAATTCGGCCAAGAAAAATACCCAGCAACAATTTCTTCATTAAAGCAGGCGGCTAGACGAAACAGCGACCAGTGAATGCACTGACAATTCTGAGATTCATTTCTGAATGATAGGGATTATCAATCTCAATCTCATTCTTATTCTCTTAAATGAAAATGTCCCAATGAATGGCATCCCTCAATCCTTGGCTTTGCAAATTTCGAAAATTATATGGGCATTATATTTTTTGAAGATAGTCAGTCTCCAGGCTGAAAGTAGTTCCAGCCCAAGCTATATCCTTACCATTAGCACTTTTATTCTTGATCTTTACTTGAATATGTTGCATTGTTGGCCCATTTCGAATTATTATTAGTAGGGGGAAATGTCATATTTAGAAACAAGAATATTATATCATTTGTCTTTAGCGGGTTCCGTTTGTATGATTTTCTTTTCTTTCATTTTCTTTATTTTAGACTTAGTTTTTGTGTGTTTACCCATCAATAAATTTTGATCTGTTAAATGATATGTTTAAAAAATCAAAGCAGATATAGGCCTTAGAAGATAGCCTATCGCTTGAATCGCCCAAGGAAAGAGTCCTCCCCTTTTGCAGATCCAACATGATATGAGAAGTGTTTATACCCATTGGCAATTCATAGGGTATTCCACACATAAAATGGCGTCTTTACACACATACACACACACACATGGACGAGTCAGTGCAGCACAGATACTCTTGTGTGCCTGTGTGTGTGTGTCTGTGAAGGAAGGAAAATCAATGCAGACCAAATTTGGCAATGCAATTGTTTCATTTCTATTATTTTGCTTTTATAGCAAACTTTTTTTTCGTTTCCTTTTAATTCTCTATTTTTCCTTTGCAGCATTGTTGCATTTGATTTGTCTGATTGCATAGAAGGGACACGGTGGGGGCAGGCAGGATGGGGGAAAAGGACAATGGAGAAGGCGGTGGCAAAATATAAATGGCCTGACACACCCACCCACCCACACACTCACATATGTATGTATACATACGATTGCAGGGGGGGAGGGCGCCTGCCGTCTCGCTCTGGCATTGTTAGAGAGCAAGGAGGCTCTTGCCTGCCATTTCATCTGTTGTTCGTTGCCCACGAGGCGCCATCTAGCTCTGAGTTTGGGGGTAATGCCACAATCTTTAAGAACCGAGATCCATCATGTTTTTTTTTTCGTACCGATAAGTGCCCTGTGGCTTTTAAATAATTTTATTAATTATTGTACAAATTATGCGCCTAATGAAATGGCCCGCATTAGTACTAGTCCTGCCTCTGGCTCTGGTCCTGGATTTGGTCTAGGTGTAACCCTGGGGTGTGTGGTGTGTGTGAGCGGTGGGGAGGGGAGAGGCAGTAGCCTTCGAAGCTGACGCTGACGCTGGCATCGACATCGACATCGACATCGATGGGGCACTGCCCAAATGAATTTTGCATAAGCCTCAGCCAACCACAATGCAGCACATCCCGTTGCCGTTGTACTGTTACCGATGCTGATACCGGGTCCTGGGTCCTGGCTCACGGCTCCCGGATTCCGGGTCCATGGCCAAAGTCTACACTGCCAAAATGTCCTCTCTCTTCCTCTCTGCCACTACCTTCTTCTCTGTCACTCTTTCTCTCGTTCTCTCTCTCTTTCTTTCTCTACGTTGCTCTCTCTCACTTTCTTTGTCTCTCTGTCTCCTGCGCAGGGTGGTTGAGCATTCTCTGCGTCGACGACAGAGACAGGAACAGCAGGCAAAGCCCGAGCCCGATTCACTGCCAGAGCCAGAGCCGGTGCCGTAGAGCCAGAGCAAGTGAGAGGCAGATAGGAGAGCGAGAGAGAGAGCGCCAAGGGTGCAAACCAATAACCGTCAGACTAATTTTGGGATTGGTTTATAATTGAAGAGTTTGCCATTGTGTTTGCTACATCCCACAGCGGCCTGTAGCGTCGTGCCACAAGGGGAGGGCACAGCCAGCATCTACATAGCTGTTCCATATACACGTATACATTGAAGATATACACACATACATACATCCATACATATACATATATGCATATAGTATGGGGGGTATATATCCCAGCGAGCAACTGTCTCATTGTTCTGCATAGGCCTAAGCTCCCACACCCACTTCCACTCGCCCCCCGCCTCCCCACTGGGGAGCCCCCACTTCGCACCCACACCTTCCCGGATGACTGCTTATCATTTTAGAGTTTTACATAATTGGCACAGCGCCAGCGTTCATCCGTGTCCGTGTCCGTTTCCATACCCATGGTCCAGGTCCAGGTCCAGGTCCAGGTCCAGGTCCAGGTCCTGGTCCAGGTCCTAGTCCAGGTCCAGGCTGTTGTACAGCATTTTCTAAGCGGGGGCGTGGTATGTTTGTTGTACATAGAAGAAGGGGACAGCCAGAGCCCAGAGCGGAGGGAGAACAGCTCTAGTTTTACCCGCCCGATTGCGCTACATTCACAAAAAGATAAATAAATATGAGTGACCCTTCCTTCCACGGGCTCCCTAGCTCTTGCTCCCTCTTGCAGCCCATTCAAATGAAAATGGGCAGCACTGCCTGAGACTGGAACTGGAAGAGTGAAAGAGTGAACGAGTGAAAGAGCGGAAGAGTGAAAGAGAGTGGGTGCCTACGCAGACATGGACTGGGGGGCTATTTGTCGTTTTGTTGTAGCATACTTTTCAGCTGTAATCAGTTTAAATGCTTAACAAAGCAACACAATCGTGGGAGAAACAAGGAGCGAAACTACACAAAGAAAGAGACAGCAGAAGGCAGTAAGGCATAGACAGATATAGTGATAATGTGGGAGAAGGAGAGGGAAGGAGACGAGAGGAGGGACACTACAGGCAGGAAGGTACAGGATGACGCAGAGTGGTGTGTGGGGGGGGGGCGGCACACAGTCGTGTGCTCCAGCTTTTTAGTTGCTATTCATATTTGCATTAATAATTGAACAATTCTATAAATATTTGATGCCTAGACAAAAGAGTTGTGAGCCCCAGAGCGCATCCGTTTCGTTCCCGTTTGTTTCATTCCGTTTCATTCCCAGATTCGGTTAGGGTTTTGAGGGGGAATGGGCCGGATTTCCCGTTCAATTAAAGCTCGAAGCACACACGCACGCACCAAAGGGTCTACAACAGCCCCAGTCCCTTTCTTCCCCCCTTCTCCTACCCAGGGCTTCGACTTGACAAGTGCAGGCCCGAGTCCTGGCTGCAAAGGGTTACCTTCTCCACAAGATACAGTGGCGGCGGTGGGGACTTGGGGAACAGAGGACTTTAATTAGAGGCAACTTTAAATACATTCCCTATCCCCCTCAGAATGGAAAAGTTTACAAATTATCTGCTTAAGCGCGTTTGATGAGGGACAAGGACAGATCTCTCCCATGTTTTTAATGGTAATAAATATAATGATGATAAAGACTCTAGTAGATTCGAATGAGTAGAGTTCTTTGAATGAGTTTCTCTGTTTGATGGGACTTAACTTTGAAATCCAATTCCATTTATTTTGAGATAATTGTTCAATTATCAACAGATTAAAGGGGATTTACAGTCAGTTTTCTCTTGTGCGGATAGCCAAAGAAGCTCTCCACTTCTGAGAGGGAATAATGGTACCATATTTAATGCCAACATTGAACTAATGAATATTACTCTGGAATATGAATATGGAATTTAGATCTTATTATAAATATTTCATAAGCAGAATATAATTGACTTTACTTTATATTTATGACTGACAAATATCAATAATCGAACTTTTATCGAACATATTACTCATATTTCCTTATGTTTCGATTTCTCCCTATCAATTCTCATTAAGAATTCGTTTTGCTCTTTGCAACAGATGCACCATTCAATGGATCAACTGGATATGCTGGATCCGACGGGACAAATGACCACGTTAGCGCCCATATCGGAGTCACCATTAACGCCCACACACCAACACCTGCACGGTTCCTATCACAGTATGAATCACATGATGAGCCACCACCATCCGGGCACGTTAAGTGGCCACACGGGGGGTAAGTCCTTTATCCGCCTAGTCATTTTTAGTCGTAGATCTTATATTTATGTATGTATATCCGCCTGGCTATGCAGGACACCATGGACACTCAGCGGTACATCATCCTGTAATAACGGCGGCAGTGGCTGCCGCTGGCCTGCATCCCGACACCGACACCGATCCCCGAGAGCTGGAGGCGTTTGCGGAGCGCTTCAAGCAGCGGCGCATTAAGCTAGGTATGCCACACGACCTTTTCCCCCTATTCCCTAGCCCCCTAGCCCCCTAGCTCTCTAGGTCATTCTGAAACTAATTTAAAATGGCGCTTCCCTTTCCAGGTGTCACGCAAGCCGATGTGGGCAAGGCCCTGGCCAATCTCAAGTTACCTGGCGTCGGTGCGCTGTCGCAAAGCACAATCTGTCGGTTCGAGAGCCTGACGCTCTCACACAATAACATGATCGCCCTCAAGCCCATACTGCAGGCGTGGCTGGAGGAGGCCGAGGCGCAGGCGAAAAACAAACGACGCGATCCGGATGCGCCCAGTGTGCTGCCGGCGGGCGAAAAGAAAAGGTAGAAAGTGTTTTAATTACCACGGTAACGCCCGACTCCCGCTGACAGAGCCAATCCTATAACCCACACCCTACCCTCCACACTCCACACCCACTGACCCATCAACCCCTGATCCAGCCACTCTCTCATCCTACACCCATCAAAGCTCGAAGTAATTGGCCCGCAGACACAGACCCGAGAGATGAGACTGATTCAAAGTAGTAGGTGGCCTTAGGCCAGCCGTTAGCCGATGGTCGATAATCGATGGGCAATAAGCGATTACCGACAAACTATCGACCGAAAAACTTGCACACAAAGGTAAATTGTCGATAATCGTTTGAAAATTAACTATTTCGCCGATAACTGCTAGCTGGTTATCGACGATTATCGACGACCGATAGCCCAGTCACGATCCAACGATACCAACAGAAAAATTGAACGCATTGCATCCTCCCCCCATAGACCATTCCCACTCTAGGGCCCCATTTCTAAAGTAATCTATATCGAGTCTTTTTTCAAGAAAAAGGACTTCCATTGCGGCACCTGAAAAGCGTTCCCTGGAAGCCTACTTTGCCGTCCAGCCGAGGCCATCCGGTGAGAAAATCGCGGCCATCGCAGAAAAGCTGGACTTGAAGAAAAACGTGGTGCGTGTCTGGTTCTGCAATCAACGCCAAAAACAAAAACGTATGAAATTTGCCGCTCAACAACACTGACAATCAAATAATACAGCCACACAATTAGGTATAGTTAGTAGTGTAACACCATCAATGACTGGCCACGGTTCGGCGGGATTCGGATACTGATAGTCGTTTATGACGGCAGCGGCGGCAGTTAACACGGCGGCAGCAGCGGCGGCAGCAGCAGCGGCAGCGGCGTCAGCAGCAGCAGCGGCAACAACATCATCATCATCATCAGCGGCAGCAACAGCAACGTCTCTGTCCATGACGGGCGACTATTACCTTTAGGGGGGATTCATCAGATATATATTTCGAAACGATCCGATACGATGTGATGTGATGATGGGTTTGAAGCAGTAATCATAGTGATGATGATGTTGGTAATGACGATGATAATGAGGATGATGACGATGATGAACGAGATGGGTTGATGATGATGATCAGCAGCAGCAGCAGCAGCAGCAGCGATTCTTTCTTCACTTCTCATAAATCAAACCACTACCACAACAACCAAAGCAACAGCAACAGCAAAAACTAATACTTATAAATAGCAGCATACACAACTATCAACATTTATCCAATCTTTCCCCAAAACAATCATACCACATCCCCAATCCTTGAGCCCCCACAGCCAATCCCACCCCCAATCCCAAAAAATGAACAAACAAATTGCAAATATTAAAAAAAAAAAAAAAGAATGAAAGAAAGAAAAGCAAAAGAAAAACCAAGAAATACAAGAATTTTTTTAGGAACGAATAATGAAACAATGGACCAACATATCAAATGCAATAATTTATTAAAATTGTATAAGAGTAAAAAGGTAAGACCTGTACGTGTATCCCACGCTATCCCATTAGACACATATTTGATTTGCAGATCAGTGAAATCTCGATCTTAGCATTCAGATACTTTGCACCGTATCCATTGGGTAGTTAAATATCTATACCCAAGTTCTTATGCCCAATACTCACAGACTACAGGGGTATATTCAATTCGTTTCATAAAGATACAAACCATGTACATATGTAGATACATAAGAGTCTAGTACTGGGTATTGTAGAGTCGCCACACGAGTGCCGCGACTCAAAAAGTTTCAACTGGTGTTGTGTATATCATTTTCGAGCTAACTTTGTGTCATTGTTGTAGACTTTTCCAGAATTTCCCTTTAGCATTGAACTATCTTTACCCCCTTTCCTAATACATATGTAACAACTTTATGGATGGCACTTATGATGACAGTTTCCAACATTTGTATCCCTTGAGAATTAGTTAATTACATTACAATTCATTGAACATGGATGCTTTCCAGAGTTCAAGAAAACCTATATCATCAAAAAGACCATTCGTCTATGCTTCAAATAAATCCCATAATTATTAATATGGCATCTTCATGGATAGATTACATTATGTCAACGTATCCGTTGGTTAGTAAAACACCCATCAAACGTTCACCAATTGTTATTTTCGTGGGATTTTATAATTTTATTGATAATATTTGTGAAAAGGTTATTATAAGTTTTTACCTTACAAAATGCTATGAAGAATATGTATGTATGATGGATGTGGATATTTAGATATGAGATGTGGTTTAGATATTTATTTTGCTAACAGATATTGGATTGAAAAATAAGTAAAACTAATCAATGTACCCGCTTTTTCTTCAATTTGGTGTGTATTTTCCAGAACAAACACAAAAGTGAAAAACAAAGGATGACGAAATTGAAATGATAAATCAATTGAACCCCTCCTCAACCGGGTGTCTCTGCTACTGCCCAAAGACCGACGATGAGACACACACATAGGCTCACACACACACACAGACAGACGAAAGACCAAAAAGAATAAATGAAGATATGCCAAGAAATTGCTTCAAGTGATCCGATAATAAGAATCTAAGCTTATAGATCTAAGGGAGAGCGCAGAAAGGAAGATGTGGACGATCTGGATGATCTGGAGACGCGGCAACAGAAACGGAAACAGCAACTGCAACTGCAACATTAGGAGCACCAACTACAAGAATACACACATACACATCCCCCAACCTACCAACCAGAGAGATACATATATACACATGTATGCATTAGCCACTGTATATATACGACGATTATATACCTAAGTAAATAGAGAACTTTGATTCGATTGTAAATACCGCAGCAGAAGCAATATAACCAACATCGCAAACAGATCCAAAAAGCATGCTAGCTTACAGTAGTAGCCCATCCCAACCCAAACCCCAGATCTTTATTGCACTGATAACCCCCCTCGCCGTATAGAGCAGCCCTTAAGATGCTTCCTTCAGTGCGTGTTTTGTTTCCTTGTTTCCTCCACACACACACACACACACACACACACACACACAGCGCAGGGGCTAACGATCAACCCAAGAGACAGGCAAACCACAGAGAAAAAAAAAAGAAAACATAATTCAATTTTTTTTTTTTATTTGTCTAATTATAAGTAAAGTAATGTCAGGAGGAAAGAAAAGAGCCCCTACCAAAAACCAAAACAAAAACCAAAAAACGAAATGAAATGTTAGCAGCAACTGGAGATATTGCAACGAATTTAAAATGTTGCCAAACTAAACTAAAAAAAAAAACTAAACGAAGATGAAGAGCAAGACGAAGGAAACCAAAAATTAAATAAATAAATCACTCTATAACAACTATAAAATTACATATAAATATATAGTATATATATAAAGAATTTTAAAGACAAAATTATATACTATACATACAATTTTTTTGTTGTATTTTTTTGTATAATTTAGCACACTTCATAGTTTTAACATAGAATTGTACATATAAAAAGATGCGATGCGATGAAAAAAACAATGATGATATATACATACATGTATATATATACGGATGTATCTGTATACACTATACATATATGTATATATATATATAGAGCGCGTGTGAGAATGATTTGAATGTGTAGACCATAAACGGAATAAAGAAAACCCATAAAAAGAAAAACAGCATCCAAAAAGAAACAAAATCATGAAAAGCGCAAAAAATGCAATAATAATTTTAAAGTAAGAAACGTAAACCAAACCCCAAGAACATGGAGAAAAACCAAGAGAAAGCAAAATAAATTAAAAAATAGTTTTGTATCGAAACAAAAACAAAAAAACAACAATTTGCCGACAAATTAGTACATAAAGAAGAAACCCCAAAAAAAACCAAAAAAGAAATCTTACAATTTTTTTCAAAGAAACCAAAAAAAAAAGCGCATAATAATAATTATAAAAAATTATAATACATACCATTGATAACGGAAAAGCCCCAAGCTCATAACTACATTTAAATTTAATTTTAGTAGTTTCTAGACACAAGAAAAATACTGTAGCAAGAAAATCAATTGATTGAGAGGCGCTCGAGTGCTGGCGGGAGATATATAAGTAAATAAAATAAAAATGCAGCAAGACAAGCAACAAAAATTACGAAAAAAAAAACACAAAAAAAAAAAGCATTTTGCCAAAGGAGTCACAGCATTGCGGATTAGCTTGTGGATCTAACTGGCGGTCTTGGTTATGGTTACTGAAATTATAGTTTCGCCGACACCTATGGGATCTAGAGCTATTCTGAACTTGGGCGAAGGATCTTTCTTCTTGGCACACAAAAATAGCTGCCTTACAATAATAATACTTGATGTTTTTGTGTGTGTTCTACAACCTTTAGGACAGATCTAGTGTACCCCCTTCTAGGCTCGTTCTTATGGAAATATTCTGGGAGGTATGCATGTATGTTTCCCATCGAAGAGAAGTCGTCTTCTTAAGGTCGTTGCCTTTTATTTTGTTCACTTAAGACTAAAATTTGTGTATATTGCTTATTAGTTCCACGGAACAAGCAGAGCATAGAATATGCGAATAGTGTAGATGCGGGTATAGGACTAGACCACCTTGTAGCGACCCTTGTTGAAGACGTGATGCGACGAACTTAGTTTGAGCAGCTCCTCCTTGATGAGGCGTGTGATCTCGCGCTTGGCCTTCTGGACGGCCAACTCGCTGCAGCTCTCGATGGCCAGATAGAGCTTGCGCTCGCCCTCGGGCGGTGGCTTGCCCTGGGGCACATAGGTGCCACGCACCGTTAGGCCCGCCTCCGAGTATTCGGAGATTTGGGCGAGCGCCTCCTTGGAGGTAACCTTCCACCGTGCCTGCTGGGGAAAGTCATTGATCTCGAGCTCCTCCTCGTATTTGGTAAACGAATTGCTATTGGCTATCAAGGTGCCAATGGCCTCCTCATCCTCCTTCGGCTGATAGTTGAGCTTGTTGTTCAGCTTGGCGGCCATCTGCTCGGCTACCGTTCGGGCCGTCAGCACGGAACCCGCTGCGGGGTGACCCTTCAGTATGGGCTCCACTGACGACACCTGGCTGCCCTTCGTGTCCAGGTTCTTGCTGCTGTTGATCTTCGATGCCAGACGCTTTGCCAATTCCAATTTGTCGGAACTCATAACAATGCCGGGCGTCGCCTGTTGTCCAGCTCCTGTGGTCGATGATGCCGAGGCCATTGCCAGATTGGCTGCCGTAGCCGCCGCTGCCGCTTGGGCGGCTGCTGTGGCCAGGGCCGCATTGCCACCGACAGCAGCGGCGGCAGCAGCAGCCGCGGCAGCAGCTGCAGTGGCAGCCGTAATCGAAGTATCTTTGACGGTGCGCTTGGCGGCAAAGATCTGCTCGATCTGCTGGTCAATGTCCTGCTCGATGTCCTCGTCGTCGTCCGAATCGGCCAGACCCAAGGCGGCCTTCTGCAGCTTCTTGCTCTCCTTGACCGCATTGAACTCCTGCTCGTCAAACTTGAAGCCCTTGCCGCTGAAGCCGCCGCCAGTGTGAACCTTCTTGCCCTCGGCCTCCTGGGCAGACTTGTATTCGGTCCACAGCGTCTGCAGTTCAGCGGGCACCAGGCAACCAGAGAGATCTAGCGCCCGTATAATGTCGCCTGCATAGCGCGACTGTTCGGGTGTGATGAACGTGTAGGCGCTACCCTTTTTGCCCGCACGACCAGTCCGACCACATCTGCAATCGATGGAAGGATTAATTGGAGAAAAAAGAGGCCACAATCAGGGAATAATTACCTGTGGACATAGTCCTCGTAGTGATTGGGCACATCGTAGTTGACCACCAGGATGAGATCCTTGACATCGAGGCCGCGTGCCGCCACCGAGGTGGCAATCAGGAGACGCACCTTACCCGACTTAAAGTCAATGATGGTCGAGTCACGGTCAAACTGATCGATGCCCCCATGGAGACTCATGCAGGGATACGAGGCCTTCATGAGATCGCGCAGTAGAATGTCGGCATTCTCCTGCTTGTCCGCAAAGACAATGATGCTGCCCGCCTCCTGGTAGATGCCCAGCAGTTCCAGAAGCTTGAAGAACTTGGACTCGTCGTTGAGTATGACCACATGCTGTTCAACATCCTTGCACACAACCGATCGGCCGCCTACAATCACCTCGATGGGCTTCTTCAGGATGCGACGCGCCAGGGCCTCCATTTGCCGAGGGAATGTGGCGCTGAACATCACCGTCTGCCGATCTGGGCGCACATTGTCAATGATCCGCATCACCTGCGGCTCGAAGCCCATGTCGAACATGCGGTCGGCCTCGTCCAACACGACGTACGTGACGCGACGCAGATTGGTGACACGGCCCGAGTTAGCGGCCAGCATATCGATCATGCGTCCTGGTGTGCACACAATTATCTCAGAGCCGCGCTTCAGTTCGGCGATCTGTTCGGAAATGCCAGTGCCGCCGTAAACGCAGACTGGCCGCAGGCCCAGACTCTTGCTGAAGCGCCTAATGTCCTTGCCGATCTGCATGCAGAGTTCGCGCGTCGGTGCCATTATGATAGCGATGGCACCATCGCCCTCGTCGAGGTTCGGCTGGTCCAGGATGTGCCTAAACATTGGTAAAATGAATGCCAACGTCTTGCCACTGCCAGTTTTAGCAATACCTATCAGATCCCGTCCGGACATGATGGCCGGTATGGCCTGGCACTGGATTGGCGTGGGCTTTTCAAAGCCCAGCTTCCGCAGCACATCCATCTCTTTCTTGCTGACGCCGCACTGTGCCCATGTCTATGGATTAAACAATGATGATAAAATGGATCGTTCATAGAAGCTGTGGATATGCTGTGGCCGGACTCACCTTAATGGGCTTGGGACAGCCCTTGCCTTTCACTTGGACACCCTCCAGCTCCGTGCGATACTTCTCCACATCCGATTGGGTCATGCGCGACAATTCGGGCACTTCTACGTAAAAGTTCTTCCGAAATGGGGCATAGCTCACCGACGAGTGATCGATCTTAGCCAGCTCCTTGCGATGCTTCATTGCCAGATTGACGGCCGTGTCACGTATGTCCTCCAGCTCATCCTCACTCGAGTACTCCAGGCTGTCCATATTCTGTTCAATCAGTTCGCCCTTTTTCGACTCAGTTGACTTCTTCTTGGCGACGCCCGTGAGTATGACAACGCCCTGGGTTTGGCTTGGCGGCTCCACAAAGTTATTGACGCGTCGCATCTCCTTGTTGACCTCCTGCATGTAGGCATCCAACGGATCAATCTCCTCTTCTGGCTGCTTCTTGGGCTCTTCCTGTTTCGCTTCGGCTGGCTCCTGCTTGACGATTGCTGCGGCTGCCTCGGGCACCACCACTGCTGGTGCTGGTGCTGCTGCTGCTGTGGCTGGTGGTGGTGGCTCTGGTGGTCTTACTGGTGGTAGTGGTGGGGTGTTCTCTTCATTTTTGGGCTCAACTTTGGGCTCAATTGGTTTGCTTGCCTCTGACTCTTTCTTGATCTTCGATTTGGTATCTCCACCGGGAATCTCCTTCTTATCGACTTTGTTCGATTTGGACGTAGACGAAGTGGGAGACAAACCTATGCCGAGCTTCACACCGAAGGTCTTGCTAAAGGTGGGACGCTTCATGGGCGAGAATTTCGCTTCGACCACATCATCATCGAAACGCTTGCGAATGCTGTGAAACTTGGATGGGGGCGAGTCGGGCTCCTCTGTGTCTTTCTTGGCGCTGCTATCCAGCGGAGGTGCGTGATTGCTGTCGTCCTCCTCGGACTCGTCCTCCAGGCTCCACTTTTTAGCCGTTTTCACAACGGCTGGTGCGGACGCCTTGTTTTCACGCTTCCGTTCGGCCCGCCAACGCTCGATGCGCTCCCGACGCTTGATCATCTCTTGCTCTAGGCGACGCTGTTGCTCCTCCTTGTCGATCTCTTCCACCTCAGCATCGGAAGAGCTGGAGGAGGACAGGCGGATGACTAGGGGGGCAACGGCAACCGGATGTCGTCGTTCTGTCTCACGATCTCTGTGACGTTCGCGGTCCCGCTCGCGATCCCGATCCTTCTCCCTGTCGCGTTCCTTATCCTTGTCACGCTCCCGATCCTTTTCCCTCTCCCTCTGACGATCGCGATCTCTGTCGCGTTCCTTATCCTGGCGCCTGCAAAGAATTCGAATTGATTGAATCAGATGTAATCGAACCACTTGTTGGCATCATTAACTTACTTATCCTTATCATACTCCTTCGACCAGGATCGCCGCCGTCGCTTGTCATCACGCCGCCCGCGATCATTGTCCTTGTCCCTACTAGACAGCTCCTTGCCACGCTTGCGGTCATCGCGGCTGCCGCGCGAACTGCTACCGGCACTGTTCCCGCCTCCATTACGAGATTTACTCATCTCATAGTCCCGACTGCCACGGCTCTCATGTGGATGGTTATCCCGACTGCCGCGGCTCTCATGCTTGCTGTCGCGCTCCCGCTCGCGATCTCTGTCCCGGTCGCGTTCTCGCTCCCGGTCACGCCTGTTTTTGTGGATGATAGGAGCATTTTATTCACAGATTTCCCACAGTTTATTTAGTGCTTATAGCAATTTAAAAAAATATTAAACAACAAAAAACACTCACCCAGAGCTCTTGGACATTGCGGTGCGACTTTCTGTGTGTTAGGGCACGTCTTTCGGCTCCTGTCCTCCGGTAAAAGACCTTCAATTAGAACTCAAACGCTTGAAGCACTTTCGGATATTTGCGTTATGGTTTTAATTAAATTTTCTGGCAAATTTTCTTGCAAATTCCGGCATCAATTCACATCAGTGTGACCGCGGATGGAATCCAGTATGTGTGTGCCGCAGTGTGACCGTATACAAACTGCACACCCACGCACACCAATTCAATACTGAAATCTGAAATCGATAAAAGCTTTTTCTGAGCTAATTTGTGGTTCAATACTTAAGTTCAAATTTAAATCTATAAAGAGGACTTTTGACGTTAGTCTTCTACTTTTTTTTTCTTTTGCTTACTCATACATATGTATCTACTATATATCGATGTTTCGTTGTCTGTTAAAATGCAGGCAAAACACTATCGAATCCGGCACACGAGCCATTAATTCAAGCTATGTAATATATGTGTAAATTGTTTTCAATCAAGTAAATTTTAATTGCATTGAAACGACTTGAGGGAGTTCAACTTTCATAAGCACGATCAAACATAGTTTTTAGTCACCATCCGCCAAAATAAATTAACGAGAACCTTCTATCCGGTAATCGATTGTGCGGCTATCGGCCACCTCTAGTTATCGTTAAGTGGTTGCCACCCCGACGCACACACGTGCTAAGATTCCTGCGGTTCTCGTATAAACAAATTTTAAATGCCGCCACAGAAAGAAGTTTCCACTGCAGAGATGTGCCCAGACATTGAGATCATTGTGGGCACCTACGAGGAATACCTACTGGGCTACCAGATAGTTGAGGAGGAGGTCAAAGACGAGAGCAAGATGCTGCTGAGGCAAACGTTTGCAGACAAGTCCCATGCCGGCGCCATAAAATGCATTTCGGTGCAGGGCCCTTGGGTGGCCAGCGGTGGGAGCGACGATCGCATTTTTGTCTACGACATGCGCCAGCGGAAGTTATCTCAAGTCCTGCTCTCGCACAGTGGAACCATAAACACGCTGTCCTTCGCCCCGGACATGTCGCATCTCTTGTCGGGCAGCTCCGATGGACAACTGAAGGCCACGCGCGTGGGTAGTTGGGCTGTGGCTGGGGACTGGAAGAAGGCGCATGCTGGCACGCCCATTACACACATTAGTTGCCATCCCAGCAGCAAATTGTGCCTCTCCCTGGGCGCAGATCGCATTCTGAATACCTGGAACTTAGTCAAAGGCCGCGTCGTCTATAGAACCAACTTGAAAAGCAAGACCACCTTGGGTGGGGCACCTGACTGTCTCTCCTGGTCCACGGATGGCGAACATTTCACCCTGACTGGCCATCAGGTCCTAGAGATCTGGGACATAAAGACGGCCAATGTAGCGAGGCGGGCCAAGACCCCATCCAGACCGATATGTGTGGCATGGGTGGGCGAAACAGAATGCCTGTCGGGTCTGGAGAATGGCAGTATTGCTTGGATATCCCTCACAGACGATAAGGAGGCTGAGGTGAGTGTAACAAGAAGGATTTCTCTCGTATTTCCTTGATCTCATTTCGATTTTTATTCCCCCCGCCCTTTATCACAGCCAAAGATACTACCTGCTCATGCTGCTCGTGTCAAGGCCGCGGCTTGTTTAAACAACACACTGGTCACAGCGTCCAGGTGAGTGAATGAGTCCCCGTTGAAGTACCCTTATAATGCATCTCCCTTTAGTGCTGGCGAAATCAAAGTGTGGCGCTGTCAACTGGAAAAACGCGAGCTAACATTCATTGCCAGCACAAGTATTGGCTGCCGTCCCACCAGCCTGGGTCTTGTGGATCTCTCGCTTATCGAAAGCACCGCTACTCGACCGAAACAGGGTGTCCCTGCAGTAGTCCCCACATCGAAGCCAAGTGACGTCGAGCCGGCGCTGGAGATTGATACACCAAAAGGCTTTGTCACAATCGAATTTGACGACGATGCCAAGCCGCCGCCTATATCAAAGAAAGCAGCCAAAAAACAACAGAAAGCAGCCAAGAAACCCAAAAAGGCAGAGATAGACTTTGACGAAAATAGCAGCGATGGTGAAAGTGAGGCTTTTACCGACAGCGATAGCGACAGCAACCCGGAGCCAACGCCCAAAAAAGGTACAAAAAAGTCTGCAAAAGCACAAGGGTTTGTGAGTGCCGAGTACGATGAAGATGCGAATGCGGATTCATCCGATGAGGCGATTGAGGGAACGCCAAAGCCCAAGGCTAGGAAATCAAAGGAAGCGAAAGGAAAGGTACCCAAACCTGTAGTTGAGCAGCAATCTGATCAAAGCAGCAGCGACAGCGACAGTGTGCCCAAGCGCAAGCGCAAACAGCCCCCAAGCCACGCCCCCGCCAAACGCAAAGTCAAAAAACAAACGCGATAGAAATAGTCCTTAATTTTGTTTTCTATGTTGACAATTAAAAATAGTGTCTTATCAAATTACACAACATTTAGTCCTGTTCGATCCTATATCCACGCGGCAGTCTGACTTCCAATACTCTGTCAGAGATTCAAGTCAGTAATACGAGCACGACGGCCACACGGGAGTCGGCCAGTCGGAGCAGCGGATTGAGCAGATGCGCATAGAAGGCGGGCGTCACCTGCATTTCACCCTCGGGACAGCCCAGGGCCGCATCATAGCCGGCCGAGACGATGATCAGTTCTGGCTGGTACTCCATTGCCACGGGCAGTAGCAGCTGCTGGAAGATGGCCATGTAGTCCCCGTCGCCCATTCCTGTCTCATTGAGCGGCACATTGAAGTTGAAGCCCAGGCCAGGGCCCTCGCCAATGGCATGGTAGTCGGACTCCTGCAGATGTGGCCAGAAGGCGCCGTGCTCGAAGCGATGTATAGAGAAATACAGCACCCTATTTTGTGTATACAAATCAGCATGTAATTGCAGGATCCTCCACACTCCATCTCTCACCTGGGATCGTTGTAGAAGAAGCGCTGTGTGCCCTGACCATGATGGACATCGTAGTCAAGGATCAGGATGCGCTCCAGCTTGTGCACGTCGCCTTGCCCGCAAGTATTGCATTCACCAACTCAATGGCGTATCCGCTAGCCCACAAGGCACTCAAAAAGGTATACTGGAATGGGTGTGGTAGTGAAAGACGTTATCAACGATATACCATTTAAAATTAGAGGAATGATCAATACGATCTGTATTGAAAGTAGGGAGCTTTGCCTAAAGCTTTGCTTATAATTTGGACTCTAACAAGGGATTTCCGATGTGAAACATTACCAGAGAAACCCAAAAATGTCACCCATGCAATAGGTATGGAAAATAATTTATGCAGACATGAACCGAACAAAACGTCTACACATTTTCTCATGCATCCTGTTTCTAACGGCTCGAAAAGACCCAATGTTTTCTTTATAGATAATAATATCTACACTTAGATTTAAAAATATATTTGCACCGATATTGGAAGTTTATCTAGATATATTTCATATTTAGATTAAATATCTTTTATATTCGGCCGAATCTGAAAATTCTAGTGATTGTTCATTTTATTATTCTCCAGTGAAGTGGGAAAACGAAGTAGAAATTCCAAATCGGCAGGAGGATATTTTAAGCGAGTCAGACCATCCGATTCCGAACACTTAAGCGGTGGAAGAAGTGATTTCGAGGGCGACGAAAAGAAAGATGAGGTAGGATTCAGTGCGAAGAAAAAATTTGATGTGGACGCGATTTTGAGAGAAGCCACTTGTCTACCGGAGAATTCGACCTATACATAAATCGATCTTATCTCTAATTCAAAAATTTGATGTGACGTTTTTATGACTTTGGACAGTTTGAACTCTCTCCTTGAAAGAGAAGCAATGCGAAACGAAGAAAACACTACATTTATTAATGGAGTCTCTACAACACGAGCAGAAAGTTTTGATAACCCAAAAGAAAGAATAGAAGAATTCAGTAAAAATACTCTTAAACAGCGAGTGGTCCACGATGTTTATGGAACCAAATACGACATTGGAGACATCCAATATGCAGAAAATTTTCTCTCGCACACGGAAACCATATCCATATTGTCCACGACTGCAACTATTCCAACCATTCCTGTAGATGCGCTTTCAACTCCTGTATCCAAGAGTTTATCGGTTGAAGCTTTGCTGGATTAAAGGTTCCAAACTGGAAATTTACGAGCCAACACTAGATCAGAAGGACACAAGGCAGTTCCTTTACTGCAACCTCGCCCGGAGAACGTGGTTTTTAAGTGGGAAAGCTCGATATTTACAATTCCGAAACAGAAATGGTGGGACGAAGCCAACTATCGGTCAACATTCATGAATCATGACTTAATCTCCCATGGATCCTTGTTATCAAATGGCTATGAAATTATTGGTATTTGTGACGAACAAAATCAAATTAATGCCTATGTGCTTGGACGTAAACCGACGTTACGCTGGTATTGGGAAACTACGAGTTCCTGTTGACCAACACTGACAGGAGGATAAGAAAGTGGCATAGGACTTAAACGATGACTCTTTAGGATAATAAAAGTCGATGCCCACGATACCAATGCCTGGGAATCATCTGATTTTGGATGTTATTCCTAGAGGAAGTACCTGTGCTGGCTGAAAAGGAAAACGTTTGTCGCTTAAGCAACACTCTGCTTATAGTTGCTTAACACTGGACTCTTTATTACACATGTAATATAATTATTAGTTCATCATAACATTAACAATTTCTATTCGCTTAGGGTTTTTTTTTCATTAAAGGGAACCGCCAACAAACAGCTCCCATGCAACAATTAATTTATGTAACAAGCGCGCGGTTGACGCGCTCGTTCGTATCCAAAGGGGAACGAGGGAGAGAGTACAGGCCGAGTACGTACGTGTCTGTCTTAATTGCCCAAAAAAAATCGTATAAGCTTAAGGTAAGTGCGTTCCAGCAGCGGCCACATGTGCTCGACCAGGAACTGGAGTATGTGTCTGAATGGTGGGCACAACGTGCACATATAATCTGTGAGGGCGTGCAGGACGCGTAGCAGCAAGGGTCACTGGGCCTCCTGGAGATAGCTCCCATTGGCAATATGATCGGCCTCCTCCTCCGAATCCGATTCGGGATCCAACGGATAACAGCCATCGGCACGCTTCGCACAGGGATAGCGCCAGGCCAGCGGTCTGCCGTATTTGTCCTGATGCGCCCGATTCTTGTATTCGAAGAGTCGCGGATTATCGAGGTAAACGCCGCACACATAGCACCACACGGCATGGTCCTGCAAGCGCATCACCAGTGTATGTTCGAGAGCCTCGCAGTGCCTCTGCATGTGCCGGCCCACGTAGCGCCCACAGCCAATATAATGACAGCTCAAACACATCCAGTTCTCCGACCTAGAGATGCACTCGCCGCACGGCGCCCTCGTGTTTATTGCTGTGGATGGTAGAATGGTACAGAAATCATTACGATTAAAACGAGCACATACAAGTAGGAAGTCGTACGAAAATCACAAAATGCAAAATAGCAAACGATAAAGCAACACAAACATCGAAACACCTGAAGGACCAAACAGCCAATATAAGTGGGTATGGAATAGAACAAAGAAAGAAAACTATACAAAACTAAGAAAAATTACAAACTGCTTGGGGCTTGAGCGCGATTACAATTCAAAACGAATGTTTGGATAGCTTTCTAGCCAGCTTAACAATTTTCTGTTAATTTATATATACAAGAAAGAGGCTACAGCGAACGAGGCTCGACATTAAGACAGCCAAAACTCAGTTTAAATAAAACAGGCGAGAGTCCGGGGAGCTTCTTAAATCAAGAATATATGTATATATTTATAATATACATATAAACAATTTTGGTAGTTGTGTTCCCGATTTTTTCACTCATATAGCCAGTAATTTTGTTCATGACTTGATTTGACACTAATTGATTCTAGCAACTCCTTTCTTCATGCTTCTTTTGGTTTTTTTCGGGTCCAAAATCATACTGGTAAAAGCGGGCCAGGATGGAGGAGCAGGAGAAACGGCGGGGATTTAGTTGTTGCTTACATTGCGGCACCAGCTCCGGTCGTAGCATTCTCATGTGCGGACAAGTCTTGCTCGGGGGAATGGCAAACATCTGCCAGCGCATGCGCGACCACCACCATGTTATTTATGATTGTTAGACAGAGAGAGAGAGAGTGAGAGAGACAGAGCGCAGCAATGAGGGAGATAGAGAAACACAGAAAGAACAAGAAGAAAGAGATTGGACGGAAAAGATGGCAGATTAGTTCTGAGTTTGGTTTCTCCGTCGTGCATCCGTGCTCGAATCTCATCGTACCTCCTCTGGCGCGGCGGTTGAATGATTGGGCGGCTTTACCTTGACTTTGGGCTTGCTATCGCTGGGCCGTTCCTGCCCTGGATCGGCCTGATCGCCGTCGGTGGGACCGCCCGCCGCGCCCTGGGCATCGTCACTTGAAATATTCAACTTCAGCAAGGAAGCGGCAAGAAAATCCTCGTTGTTGTTCTCCCCAATCTGGTAGCCATGCGGCAGCCGGTAGCCAACAAACTCCAGCGACTTCCAATACTGACGCTGCACCTCCACGCAGCACTGTAGCGTCTCCAGGCAGCTCTGGAAGGCCGTTGTCGGCGGCCTTGTCAGGGCAACCACCCCCAGCAGTGGCGTCGGCACCGGATCCCCCAACAGCGTCTTTGTGCACATGGTCATCGCATACGAAATGGAGTTGACATTGTAGCCGCCTTCGAGGCACACAACTATCCGGCCACCGGCCAGGGCAGACAGCCAGTGGGTGAACAGACCGTAGCCCTCGGGCGAGACTTTGCAGCCCCCTAGAGGATCCCCGATGGCCGCATCGAAGCCCGCCGACACGAGCACCAGTTCCGGCTGGAACTCGTACGCAATTGGCATTACGATCTGCTGGAAGGCCAAAGCGTACTCCAGATCCCCCATGCCCTTCTGTAAGTCAAAAAAATTAATGAGCCAAGGAGAGCACAAGAGAGATGGAGAGTCTAAAGAGAAGACTCACCTTATTCCATGGTATATTGACATTAAAGCCGGCTCCCGTATGCTTGCCCACCACATCGTAGTTGCCGTCGGGGCCCTTGGGGAAGAATGTTCCGTTCTCGTAGCGGTGGACGCTGATGTACAGTACCTTCGGATTTGACTCGAAAATGTGCTGGGTGCCATTGCCGTGGTGGACATCCCAGTCGAGGATTAGCACTCGCTTCAGGCCAAACTCCCGGATCGCGTACTGGGCGGCAATGGCAACATTGTTGAAGATGCAGAAACCGTGCGGCTGGTCCGGCTCCGCATGATGGCCAGGCGGACGGACATTGCAGATCGCACTGCGGGACTCCCCGCGGAGCACACTGTCTACCGCCTGGAGAACGGATCCAGCGGCCAGGGTGGCGCAACCAAACGTGGCCGGATGCAAGTACACCGAATTGTAGGTCGCTGCCTGCGCCTGGAGATCCTCTTTGTCTCGGCCCAGCACTCGCCGCATTGTGTTTACGTGGGAGCGACTGTGCGCCAGACAGATCTCGTCGGTGGTGGCCGCCCGCGCAGACAGCTGCTTCATGCGGCCGAGCAGCTGATAATCCTCGTGCATTTTGTGTATGAACTGGATGCGCTTCGGCTGTTCCGGATGGCCCAGGTCGTCCAGGTTGCGGTGTTCCATCATCTCGGGATTGTAAGCGTAGCACACACGAACTGCAGGAACCGTCAGAATGGTCTCCAGCCGCAGTCGGTGCAATCGGGCCGTGTTATCCGCCACTACCGCATCGGGAATGAGGTGTTGCACGGAGGTGTCCCGCGTCGGATAAACGGTAACGGGTGGCGGTCCGCCAACCCATGCACGTTCCACTATATGCAAGTCCCGACTCCGATCCTTGGTCTTCAGCTCTGATGGCTCGTAGGTGCCCTGCAGCTGCAGGCAACGCCAGTACGGCCGGTGAGCAAATATGCAGTTGAGAATGGATTTGGACATCGAACGCTTCGGCGGGAGCAGCGGCTCGACCAGCACGGGGCAGGGATCACTCAGCAGGGTGCGCATCGTGAGGGCCGCTCCCTCGGCCAGAGATTCAAGGCAGTAGCCTCCTTCGAGCACGACGGCCACACGGGAGTCGGCCAGTCGGAGCAGCGGATTGAGCAGATGCGCATAGAAGGCGGGCGTCACCTGCATTTCACCCTCGGGACAGCCCAGGGCCGCATCATAGCCGGCCGAGACGATGATCAGTTCTGGCTGGTACTCCATTGCCACGGGCAGTAGCAGCTGCTGGAAGATGGCCATGTAGTCCCCGTCGCCCATTCCTGTCTCATTGAGCGGCACATTGAAGTTGAAGCCCAGGCCAGGGCCCTCGCCAATGGCATGGTAGTCGGACTCCTGCAGATGTGGCCAGAAGGCGCCGTGCTCGAAGCGATGTATAGAGAAATACAGCACCCTATTTTGTGTATACAAATCAGCATGTAATTGCAGGATCCTCCACTCTCCATCTCTCACCTGGGATCGTTGTAGAAGAAGCGCTGTGTGCCCTGACCATGATGGACATCGTAGTCAAGGATCAGGATGCGCTCCAGCTTGTGCACGTCGAGGGCATGCTGAGCGGCCAAGGCCACATTGTTGAAGAAACAATAGCCATTGAATTCGGCCTTCATGGCATGATGCCCTGGCGGTCGGATGATGGCCATGCCATTCTGCGCCTTGCCCGTAATTATGGAATCCACCAGATCAATGGTGGATCCGCTGGCAAGCAAAGAGCACTGAAAAGTGGACTAGAGTGGGGAGAACAGTACGTTATAGAGAGGTTATCACAGGTCAAACCACAACTACTATATATAGATATATAATTGGAGAAGAAAATGGAGAAAAGTGAATTCTGTTTGCGGAGAAACCTCTACTCAAACCCGAGCTAAGCTTCGTAAATACTATGGGAACTCTACACCATCAATTTCAATGGTAATAATATGCTTGAAACCCATAGGGAAGCCATAGGGAATCACATGGCTCAGTGTCTTCAATCACTTGGGCATGAAAAAGCTTTCCGAAAGATGGGAAAGTTGATTGTTTATCCGAAAACGACATGACCGTATCGATCGTGAAGTTCGCTTTTAGCTCGAAGATTAGAGCACTAGCTAGGCAGAATTTATACAATTTTTCAGACAGTAGGCCGCTGATTCCGAATGTATACGGAGGAGGCGGGGCCATTTGTAGAGTCTCATGAATATGCCATAATTTCTATAGTATTCCCCCATCTAATCTAATCCAATTGAAGCTCCTCTATATGCATAAAAATGTAAATAAATATGTAAATATGGAATACGAAACAAAGGGGAGCCCGTGCTCATTATCGATTTCTCTCACCGGATGTATGTATATTGAATCAAAGCGAGAGCTAAGCTCCTCCATGCTCTGGTCGTCGCACACTTCGGACGTCTGCTCCAACAGTTCAAAATGCTGGGCCGTATGCAGCCGGAGTATCTCCTGTTTGGTGGCCAGCCTGGCGGACACTGGCAGGCAGCGATCCAATAGCTTCAGCTCGTTGCAGCTGCGACACGAAACCAGACGTTAGGGCCTTCTTTGTTTTTGGGCAAGTTGACAGCTTACCGATCCAAAACGCGATTAAACCGATCGGGACACTCCAAATGTTTTGGATCCCAGCGGCAGCAATGCTGCTCCATCGACTGATGGTAGACCAGAGCCGTTTCTCCGCGCACCAGAGGCCGCGACTTGACAGCCTGAAATGGGGTTTCGAAATGAGTGAAAATAAGGCCTGGCATGGCATTCAGGATTCAGAGTCAGATTCAGGGAGTACTCACTGTCTGGAATATATCCGTCACAGTTTCCTGCATGGCTGGTGTATTGCCTTGGTGCCTGAGCATGTTTCGAGCGCGACGTTTTGCCTCCAAGAGGGTTTCGCTCCGTTTGGGCAGCTCGGCGCCGACGCTGCTGCTTTTGATCGCCCCCGACGATGACGACGATGCCGCAGTCGCATTCGAATTCGAACCCGACTTCATAGCCATGGCGCGGGTTTGTATCTTTGCCTGCTGCGCCCCTCGTCGCGTTACGATCGGTGAGCTCTGTGCGAATAAATTTAGAGATTGTATTGGGATTTTGTGTGTATTGTGGATTTAGTTTGTGTGGGTCAGTGTGTGTGTAGAGCTCCTCCCCGTCCGGAAATCATTCGTAAATTTCGACTATGCATTAACACTACAAAGGTAAACACGAGATATTGTACGTGACATTTATATCAGGGGATATACTCTTCGATCTAGAATTTGGCACACATTTCACACAGAAAAATAGATGGTTTTGTGTGTGGATTAGTCCCAGACTCACACAATTTCATCTCGATCTGTTCATTTATAAACTATTTTTTTGAATAGAGATCTATTTCGAGATTTTTTGACAGAGCTTTTCAGTCCTTAAAAGGTTCTACTCTGAAACTATGACCTCGGTAGCATCCTTTTAATAGTTGAAGCCCTGCGGGTCCGTTCAAGGGACCTTTCACTGTACACCGTCGCACCTTTTGACTGAACTCTGGGTCTACTCTACCCTACACTGCAAACAGCACTTGATAATGGCTGATTACGCCTGCTTGTGGGTTGTGGCTGCGGTTTGAGCGGTACGGCGGTGGGGGACTGTTGCTGCAGCGAACGATTATAAATTAACGCAAATTATATATTAATTTCGCTCCGTTTTGTGGCACATTAGAGCGGGGCACCTGATGACCACGAACTCAGCACAGACACTGGCTGGCACTCGGGGGGACTTGGACTTGGCCTGGGAGCTTGGCTCGTACATACACACATATGTATATCTATTGAGCGAGTGTTTGGTTTTTGGTGTGAGCTCGCGTGTGTGGGTGTTATGGCCATTGCCGCATTTGGTAAAAGCGACTCCATGGCAAAAGACACTTACCATTTTTTTTTCTCTTGCTGTATGAGAGCTTGGAACTGGAATTGATGCTGGATATCTGGCCCGGTGCACTGATTCCAGCGACTTGTGGGCGGACGCGTTGATTCACTCCGTGTGTGTGAGTGTGTGTGTTTTAGGGTGGGGGTGCGTGCAGTGGTATGTAATACTGTTGGTAGCTATTGCTTTGAGGGGCTCTGTATATTGTTAAGGTTGCGTGAGAGGCCTTCTAATATACATGTACATATGTATTGGGCTCTTATCGATTCCAACAACTTTTCGCTCCTTAGTACTGCTAACTGTATATGTGCTATAAATTATGCCTATTTCTATCTCGCTTGCTTTCACAATCCGCCCCGCACTCGCACTGTTTGCATGCGCCTACATCTGCCCTTGGGTGTGTGTGTGTGTTCTCTCCTGCTTCGACTGCCTCTGGTCGCGCTTCAGTTGTTGTAAAACAAATGTTATGTTTTGATCACAGCTCACACTAACACATTCGGTTTACAGTTTTATTGCTATCGCAAGAGAGTGATATGGAGCACACAATTAATACGTAGCAAATAATACAGCACGAAAGATATATATGTAACTATGATGCACTTTAATGAGGCAACGCCAGCTGCAGTTGGATATTGGCTAGATACAGAGCTGAGCTGTACCACGGGCCAAGAGAACCAGAACCAGAACCAGGCACAAGACACAGCAGCGGGGACAAGGCTAGCGAAGTAATTCAATGCTATGGTATTTGCGCGGGCGGTTCGGGCTGGCGGGCGGCAAAGTAATGTTGTTTGTGGTCCGTCTTCTTCTTGCTTTTACATTGAAACATCTGTTCCACGCGATAGGCACAACTTGTTGAAGAATCGATCGCCTGATTATCGACTACCATTTGAAGTTAGGAAATTGTTGCATTTTATGACATAACACTTTCTATATTGATTAAATTTTAATTATTAAAGATTATTTTACGTCGATTTAAATAGCTTGATTAGGTAACCTTGGTTTACATGCGTCCACATTGATTTCGATAGGTATTTAATTTTGTTGGCCTATTTTCGATTAGATTGATTAGTGAGGATTAGATTAAACTGTGTCGTTACATTTAAATGGAATTTGAATTATAAAATTGTTGTGCTGATGATATCAATAGTAGGTACCGATAGTTTCCAAAATCAACTCTGTGAAATTTGCGCGCCAGTCGCGGTTTTCGATATCCGTTTGTGCACCGATTTGTCAATATTGCCAATTGTTTGCCGCTACAATGCTGCCGTTTGTAGAGGAGAATGTGCCGCAGTTGCTGTTGCAGCGCTCCAGCATAGCCTTCTGCTCCAATCTGCATCTGGGGCGTGGCCACGGGCGGACCGTGTCCAGTCTGGTGCTTGGCCGCAATCTCAAGTTCTACGAGTTTCGCAAGAAGGAGCTTCTGCATCACATTGACCTCAAGGAAAGCCGGCTGAAACAGTTGGCCACAAAACTCCAGGCCTATGATGGCCCCATGAGCAGCTTTCTCAGGCGCGAGGCCGAGACGGTGGCCAACAATGGCAATGAGTCCGTGTCATCAGTGAACCACAGCATGCTGCCAGCTGGCGAGGAGCTGCCCCTCGGCATCGGCAAGTTTGAGTGGTTGCAAGAGCAGATCTACATCCTGGTTCACTGCTGGCAGCTACTGCTGGTCCTGCGCCGACCCCCAGAGCTTGGCGCCAACTTTGAACTGGTGGCCCAACACGATCACGTGGAGAATTTCAGGATGGTAAGCGGTCCCATCGAGTACCAGGCCTACGTGGAGCTGCGCTTCACCAATGGTAAGCGCCAGCGCACCGATTTTCAGCCTGCTCAAGACAAAGAAGAGTCCTCCAGCCCCAACAGCATCGCCGCCGACACCTTTCCGAACGAAAACTTTGAGCGGCTGCTGCAGCGGGTCCACACAGCACAGGCAGAGCTTTGCAGCCAGCGCGTCCAGACGCAGCTGGACTTTTCCCGCACGCTCGAACTGCAGACCTTCGGTTCGCCTGGCCGCCGCTCCCTGCTGCTGGAGGAGAAACAGCTGTTGAGACGCTTGGGCGATGTCTGGACGAGGGTCTGTGGCGATTTCGTGGTCTGCGGCACCCTCCTGGCTAACATAGCGGGCAACAATCGCCTGTCCATTGTCCACTGCCTGCGCCCGCTGCTCCATCTGGACAATGGGGGCAGCCTCAGTTTCGAGCATCGTCTGTACGAACTGCCCCTCCAACCAAATCGCCAGCCACCGGAAGACTACGATGATCTGGCCCAATTCTGGGCCTGCCAGGATCAGCACAGTCGTCGTCTCAACTGGCGCCCAGCGGCCAAGGCCTCCCAGCTGCTGCCGGACTGCACGGCCGTGCTGCTTGTGCGTCTGCGGCTGGAAGATCTACTCCAAGCCGAGAAACTCCAGCTACTGGCCATCTATGAGATAAGAAATGGCGTGGAGGATTCAGGGAGTAGCATACGACAAATGCATTTGGCGACCATTGATGTCGTAGCTCTGCTGAATCATCCCGAGGCCCTGGCCCCTCGGTTTGCTCCCAACACACTGCATCAGGATTTTCTGGCCGTGATCATGACACAGACGGCACATTGTGCCCTGCGACTGAAGTTTCTCGAGGGTCAGGCGGTGCAGGACTGTGCTCGATTCGAGCAGCTACTCATTTCCAAGCTGGCGTTTGAGCTGATCACGACCCAGAGTACGGATCAAGCCTCGTCTGATCGCGGTAAGCCTCGCCATAAATCACTCCATAAATATAAGGTTCTAAACTAAGTGCTGATCTTCGTTACAGGCTCTGATGTGGATATGCTTGATGCCTTCTGTACCACCACCACGACGAGCACTGCCTTGATTCCCGTCCAGCATATCTTCTACAACAGCCAGCCCCTGTCGCAATGGTGTGGAGTGCTGCTGCTACGCGATGATCCCGGCCAGCACTGGCATGTCTATGCCCAGACCCGGGCCCGTCTCCGTCTCCTGCTGCATCGCTTAATGCGCGATCTCCTGCAGCTGCACTGTAACCTCTCCGTTCTGGAGCTGAACGAATACAATACGGCACCCGACGATGTGGCTGGGGCTTTTGAGGCGAGTCTCCGCGAAGAGCTGCTTGCCTGGTCGCAGTTGTTAACACAAAAGGATGGCAGACAGCAGCAAGACGATCGTTTGAAGGAGCTGACGAACCTGCATCAGCTGCAAATGGCCAGCGATGTGCTGGCATCTGTGATAAAAACTCAAGCGCAAGAGGACGAATAATATTTTGGGGTGGAGATTATTATTATTTTTATTCCAAGGCCTTGTTGCACTTCCATCATATGTAGATCCTTTGTACCGGTCAGTAGGATTGTGTGCCCGTATGTTTAGGCTTTTGAGATCTTTTTGTATAGAGTGCAGGGCATTCACATAGGATGTGTTTCGATGTTTCCTTCTCCATTTCGCAGGATCTACAGTAGTCGATGTCTACTAATTTTAATTCCTTGAGGTGATATATCATGCCGGCATTTGCCCGGTCATTCATGCGACTTTTTTGGATATGTGGGTTGTATTGTGATCGTCAGATTAAAGCATTCGATTCTGGGATTGCATAAGTAGCTTATAGTCTATAAAGATCTTTAGATCTTTGTCAGGATGGATTCGTTTTGCTTACAAACATATAAACATATTGATCTATACTATAAATCGTAGGAATTAAAGTATCTTCATGTGCTGCTGCGTCGCTGATGCTCCTCAGTCTTGATGATGCTGTCGAGTACATTCTCCAGATTCTGTGTGGCAGCCGACAGTTCGGCATTGTCGCTATACGAGTCCTCGACAATCTCCTTGACCTTGTGCAGCAGCAGCTTGAAGTTGGCCATCTCTGTGTCACGGCCATCCCCATTAACCGGATGCTGTTCGAGTAGAGCGCCCAGCGGCAGGGGCAACGATAGGGGCGCTGCTCCTCCATTCTGTATGCTTGAACGTCGCTGATCGAACCACAGACTAATGTCGTTTAAGGAGTAGTCCGACTTGTTGGCCTCCAGATAGCTGCGATTCAGTTCGGCTCCGTTAACTGCAAAGGAAATTAATTGGCTGAAGGATAAACTGATTGATTGACAGAGCCCATTGTACGCACTGGAATGTGTCAGATTGGCCCCCACGGGGGCATACATATCGAAGATCTGTTGTCTCTGGGGTGTGCTCGAGTTAAGGAAAGTGGAGTTGGTCAAAGGAACGGCTGGCCCTGTGGGCGATGTAGCTGTGGAGGCCCTCTGCAAGCGAAGCAATAAAAGTAATCAATGGTTTGCCAGGGTGTCGGGATGTGACAACGCCTACCGATAGCTGACGCATATCCTCAATTATCTGTAAAAGAAAACTCTGATGGGCACTCAGAAACTCTGAGATCTGGGCACTGGAAGTTGTGGAAACCAGCTGCAGCTGAGTTTCCAGTTTCCTGCAATCGAAAAACAATTCTATAAAGATCCCATCACAGGGACGGAATGCCAGGACTCACACATTCTGCAGCTGCAGGCGATCAATAATCGATTGCATTCGATTTGAGGCCTGGCTGGCGGTTGTGGCCAAGCCCGTCAGCGAACAGAGCTCCTGCTGCTGCTGAGGCTGGGGCTGCTGCTGATGCTGCTTCTCCATCAATGGCGGCTTCGTGGTGGAGTTGCAGCGAAAACTACGCGTCTCCGCGGGTATGGGTGCCAGCTCGGGGGCCGTGGATGGCTGCCCCAGACTGCCGCCGCTGGCACTCTCCTGGGCATTGCAGAACCCGCGTCGCTCCTCTTCTTCGGCTCTATCACGCTGCGTCTTCTGCGGATGGGTAATCCAGCCGCAGAGGCGAGCCAAATACCGGGTCCAGCTCTGGGGCGGCTGATCCTCCACAAACACCTCGCACATGCGATGCGTGGCCTCGTGCCGGCCACCCACAAAGCCGGCCGCAAAGCAGGGCAAACAAAGCGACAGATCGCGGCACACCTGGCACTTGAAACGTATGCCAATGATATGCTCCAGCCGGCAGCCAGCGCAAGGATTGCTGTGGATCAAATGCTCGGTATCCTCGATGCGCTTGATCAGCGCCAACAGATTGCCGTAGATGAGGAAGCGTGTCTGGGTCGTAGTCCACAGACCGTGGAACTGCTGCTCCCCCAATCCACTGGCATTGTGCGGGCACCGCGCAAAGCACTGCTCCATCATTAGCGGCAGATTGTGCACACCATAGGCCTTGGCCTCCCCGAGATAGCTGAGCAATTTGCTCAGCGTGTTCAGCAGCTGCTCGAAGGCAAACCGCGACACGCTCTGGGACCTGCTCTCCGCCAGCAGCCCAAAGAAGTCGCCGACCATGTGCTCGCTGCTGTAGAGTTTGCACAGCAGCAGGAAGGTAACCCTGATCTCCAGCAGAGAGATCGAGTGTCGTCGCTGCCTGCAATCGAGTAGAGAGTAGAGTAGAGTAGAGTAGAGTATCACGGACGCCGACTCCTGCACCACTCACGGATCGTAGATGTTCCAGAAGAAGTTCGCCAGCAGGGCAGTTGCTGTCTCCAGGGTGTAGCTGCTGGTCTTGGTGAAGTGGCCCAGCTTCTCGCAGGCAAAGTAGATGTCGTGCAGCAGCGAGGTCAACTGAAAGGGTGGCACCATCAGATTGAGATTGCTGCCACTGCTGGCTGGCATGCCATGGCGTTCCAATATGGCCAGCACTAGTTTGTATGGTATTTTGCTGGCTGTCCACGCGGAGTAGATAAGGTTAAAGATCCATTGGAGATCCTGTGTGTGTGTGCTGCTACGCTACTCACTGTGAAAGATTTTTTGCAGGGCCACAAATTTGCTGGCACAGCGATATACCGTGTATTTGTATTTGCCATAGTCCACCTGCAGTTTTTCCATAATGGCTGATAGGTTCCTGCTGTTGTTGTTGTTGCTGCACGCCACTTGTTGCACTTGTGCTCCTTTGTTGCTGCCGGCCAGAGACGCCACCGCCTCGGCGCTGGCGCGCATTTTTATCAATTGTGTGTGACTCGCAGCACCTGCCATTATTTCCAGCTACAAATATTTTGCACTTGCTGAACAGTTTAACCACAGTTAGGTTTCTCTTTCGTGCGAGGAGCGTCAGTTTTTCGCTTCTTTGCCTCTTCCACGGCGTTCGTTAGCGCAAAAGTCAAATTTGAACGGGATGTATGGCAACGCCGATCAGCCAGCATAACTATCGACTCAGATGCATCTCTGTTATCGATTTCGGACCTGCCGACCGTTAGCCATACAATTTTGAATTGGAATTCAAACTGGGGAGTTACGTTTTGCTTTTTATTTTTTGTACCTAAATATGTACATAGCAGAATAATAATAAAATTACAAGGACATTGGGTGTTGGTTTGCGCATGAACTTGGTTCTTCTTTCCCACCAAATTTAGGTCATACGAAAGCATGGACAGCCGCAATGAGAATGCAATCTCACTCTCCCCATCTCCCGAAAAGTGAAAAAATCATATTGGAATTCATTTTTAAAATTAAATATATGTTGTCGTATGTATATTTGCATCATTCCATTACAATTACATTAACTTATGTTGAATTGTTTTGTTTTATTTGCATTTCTATTTTAAAATAGTTTTGTGGTTTGTTTTGTTTTTTTTTTCTTCTATGTTTTCATTTTTTGTTTTTTGCTTGCTTATATCAATATTGTAATATGCCATGTTTATGTGTATTTTTTGGGGCAGGGGATAGGGGCTACACGAGACAAATTGGGGGCGGGGCGGGGCTGGGGTGTTTCCTTTGTTTTTGCCTTTTGAAAGCGTTTCTCACGTGTCTGCTTGTGTCAATATACGAGTATACGCATATAAACTATTGATTTTATGTGTAATTACTAATTATCATATGTGTGTGTGAGTGGTGTGGGTGTGTCTATATATAAATCCTTTTTTTTTGTTTATTTATGCTAAAGGGGGGGCGGGCCTGGACTCGCACACAAGCAATCAAAAGGAGTAGGAGAACGATTCCTGCTTTCTATTCACTTTTTTCACTTTTGTTTTTTTTTTTTTTGAGTAATTTTAAATACAGTACAGTACTACATACAAAACGTCATCATAAATCATATGATGGATGGATGGGGGGGTGGGACGAGGTAAAGTGTGTTCTCGCTGCCAAGGCACAGCCATGCCCGGGCTGGACCGGACTAAGCGGTTCTCTCAATATGAAATTCAAAAAACAAAGAACAAGCCTTTTGGGCTGGTCAGAGCCTGGCATGATTGTTTGACCCTGAAAGTTTGATTTACCTCTCACACTTTACCCCAAATATTCTAAGTATATTTTCCTCCGTCTAATTGCACATGCTAAAAACGATCTATAAAGTATACAATATGAACTCTGTTGATTTTGGGTTGGATTTCGAAACAGAAGAGTATTTGAAACCTGTCTAAATTTATGCTTATGCATGCTTGTATTTATATAAATCTGTGTCTGTGTGTGGGTGCCTGTGTGGGGGCGGGGGTGTATGTAAAGCAGTTTCGGTTCTCACTTAAATTATTAAAAAGTTTTGTTTTGCAAAAGAATTGTTCTTTCGTTTATTACAGTGTTTTTTTTTTGTTTTTTTTTTCTTTTTTTTACTAAAATGATTAAGGTACAAAATAATCGGTGCATTCCATCGAATCAATCAACGATGATTGGCGCACCGTTGAACTGATCAATTATTGATACAATTTTTTTGTTTTCTTGGATTTCTTGCTTACGAGAACTTCTTTTTTTTTGTAGTTTTTGTTTCATTTTCAATTGAATAAATTATGCTATGCTAAAATGTTTTGGGCTACACGGCTCTCCTCTTTCCCTTTCCCTTTCCCTCTCGCTCGCGCTCTCTCTCTCTCTCTCTGTCTCTCCCTCTGTCGAACTGTTCGTATGAATCGTAATCGAATCGTTTATATTTAATAGTGAAAAAGGACATTTCTTTTGCTAAACAAAAATCAACTATAGGTAAACATAAAAAAACTTGTAATTGTTTAATTTTATCATATATGTATGTGATTATACTTAATGCATATTGATAAAATTTAAATAATATATTAATTATGCGTACGCTGAAGACCTATTTCAAAAAAAAGTTTATTTTTTTTAAAGGCTTAACATAGAAAAATTATGTTCTTTTGCTTTTTTTTTTGTTTGTTATAAGACAGCAGACGACACCGGATGACGACCGAATGTTGTCATCCATTTACAAAAAGTTCGCTTTTAAATTAAGTTTTTTGTTGTTTTTTTTTTCTGATTATCGAATACGCCCACATGCACATACCATATATATAGCATATATAGGTAGTATATCTATATAAAAGTGTGAGCTTGTGTGTCTGTCTGTGTGTGTGTGTGGGTAGTTAGTGTACGACGATTCGCAAGTTAAACTTCAGCGGAGTGGCGCACTTTTTGAAATAAAAAAATAACCAGGGATGGGGGAGGGTAGGGGAGTTGGGCGGGGGGCAAACAGACGAAACACCAAACACATCCCCGGATACGGATTACCGTGGACAGGATACCCATCAATATGCATTACAGTTTGCATAAAACACCCGTGTCCGTTCCGGTTGTCCCTTGTGCCGTCCTGTTGTGGCGTGTTCCTAGTGTTCCTGGTGTCCCTGGTGGGCATGGTTTTGGCTAGGGTGTTATCCTTATCCTGCACTGTCTATGCACATGTGTGTGTGTGTAGTGTGTGTGAGTAGGTGGTGTGGGTGTGGGCATGTGTGGATATTCGGAGGAGAAGTATATATTTAAAAACGATAATTCTCATCGGCCATGTGCACGGCCCACAGAAATTTGGTTCTTTGCGTTTTGTTAAAGATCTTCTCGATCGGTACTCCATTCTTTTTACACCTGCAGAAACGAAGAACGCAGGCATTTAGTTTATTTAGTTTTGGGGCGGGCAAACAGAGCGAAGCGGGAGACAGCACTTACCAAGCCACCGATATGCGTGGATCGAGATAATTTAGTTTAGATGTGCCCAGGGCAATGGTCTTATTCTCGTCTCTATCAGTCTCTTGTAGTTCCAATTTCTTAAGCTGGTCCTTCAGACGCTCCAGCTGCTTGCCCTTCTTGTCGGCATTCACCTTCTCCTTGACCGAGCCGCGCTTGGCAGCCTTTTTCAAATCCTAGACAACATCCAACAGTTGAAGTTTTTTCATTTCTCAAATATAAAATCGATCTCGCGACTCTACTCACATGGTATTCGGACTCGCAATCATCGATGGCATCGCGCTTGGCGCGTATTTTCTCCTTTAGATTCTCCATGGACTTTTGATGGCCCTTCGGCACGGAGCGCTGATGGTTACACAGAATGGCAACGGCACGATTGGCCCGATTGTAGGTGAGCAATTTCTCTGGCACCGTCGCACTCGGATCGGTGAGCAAATCCAGTTGGTTTTGGAGCGTTTTCGATGCGTTATATGTGCGGAACACCTTGGCCGTGAGTCCTGTTTGATGGGAGGAGAGGGAGAGGCACACACAGAGGATTAGTGTGGGGGTTGGGGGGAGGGGAGAACGGAAGTTGAAGGATTGCTCTTTTCAGACATTGGGCTTACCGTCCATCAGCTCCTTGAGATGCTCGTTCAGAACTTGGGTATTGAGGCGATCGAATAGATCGTCGCCCTCCTTCTTGTGCTCCATGAAGAGTTCGAGGTTCTTGAAGACGCGCTTCTCCACCTCGACCTCGTTGTAATAGCGTATGGAATCCTTGCCGGGGAAGTCGAACACGACCACATTCTCCTTGTCGTTCAGCTCCTTGTGCAGCTGAACGTGCTCGACGCGCAGCGAACAGCAGCCAACGGTGTCCGCCTGATCCTCGTCCTTCTCGTTGCCCGCTCTCAGCGCCAGCTTGTCGATGAAGTACAGGGCCACGGCCCGCTGTCGCACACGCATCTCCTTCGATTTCCATTCGTCGCGATAGGTGGCACGAATCTTATCAATGGACTTGTCCAATCGGCGCGCCGTCTCGTATTTGATGTGATCCTTTTCGCCCTTCAGCTTTGACGACGGATTCAGCATAATGTACTTGACCTGTCCCTGGACATTCTCGATCCAGGACGCCAGCCAGGTGACGGTATTGTCGTGTCGCACCTCCTTCCATCGCGAGCCAGGCGGCGGTGGTGGCACCTTTGACTCCTTTCCACAGTTGATCGAAACGTCAGAGGCGCCGATGCGGCGCTTGATCATCCCCATCTTTGGATGCTCGCCGCGACCACGAAACAGTCCTGGAGGCTCCAAACGAAAGTTACCGATCTTTTCCTTATGGCCATCGATCATACAGAAGCCATACTCCTTGATCAGGGCCTCGTTCTCGTTCTTTTTGGCCAGCTTCTCCTCCTTGGTCGCTTGCTTACGCTTCTCGGACTCGGCCTGGAAGTATTCGTGCATCTCTTGGAAATTGCATTTGCGGAAGTCTTTGATTATCTCCTTCTCCTTGGACGTCATCGATTTGCGGAAGTCCTTGAAGAAGTTATTGTTGAATATATCCTTGGTGCAGTAATCATGATTCAACATCTTCGCATAAAAGGTGGCCGCCTCCTCCGTCTCCTCGGACAGATCCAACGGTCGCCCGTCATAGAAGAAGCGCACATTGCGAGGCACACGTTCGTACGGCGGTGCAAATACCGGTCCCTTATGCTCCAGCGTTGACCATTTGACGCCATCTTCGCGCTTCTCCTCCTCCCACCTGGAATGAAACACATTGTGCGATTCGATATTAGATTATTGTTGCCTTGAGTCTGTACTTTGTCTATGCAAATAACCATTTGATGGTTCCCTGTTGGCCAGTGGAGGAGCCTGTCGCTGGTTGCCGCTTTCGCGGCAAGCGCCTCTTGGCGGCAGCGGCGCAAACAGAGACTGCCAAACGCTGATCTTGCAAAATAAAATACGATTTGTGTTTTCCCCATAGACACCGGCACAGCGGCGACAGAGCAGTTGCCATTTAGCGCAGCGCTTGTCGTCGTTTGCTGTCGGTTGATGCTTTTGCTTTGTTTTTCTTTTTTTTCACATTACGCAAAGCAGCAAGGCAGCAGGCAGTAGCAGCTGCTGACATAACCTCAAAAGTGGTTTACGAAGTGTTTGTGGGGGAGGGGGGGCCTCACGGCCAGCGAACAGCTGATAGCAAGGCGCACGCGTTGCGCAGCGAATGTTTGGCAGTGTCCAACAAAAATACAGTAATTGCTCGCTCAGGCAGTAGTCACACGAACACACACACACACAAACACAGCCAAAAGAGCGTGTAACTACGCCGAGACGAAGGTAAACAGACTTCTGGAACATACTGTGTTTTAGTGTTGTTGTTCTTGCCTGCTTTTGTGACTTTCAAAATGTAGGTCAGTGACATTCAAACTTCGGCAGTCGGCAGGCCAGGCACATGTGTGCGCGCACAGCAGACAGCAGACACATGGATGTTGTGTGTGGCGTGTGTGGGTGCACACGTCAACGATTCAAACGGGGAATTTCGAATGCGAAAGCGACTGCGTGGGCAGCAGACCAGACCAGACCAGACCGGAGATCAGAGATGGACCCAGGGCGGACGATGCAAATGGGTGATGGATGATGGATGGATGATCCACACACAGATGGCCAAAAAACAAAAGATACTCAAGGAATTGCTTATAGCTTACCATCTCCACACTTCTTCCTCCTCCTCCTTGGCACCCTTGCGCTTGGTGGGAGACACAACTTCGGTCTTGATCTCGGAAGACTCCTGTGAATGGGAATGTGTGTGTGGGATGAGAGACACCATGGCTCCAAGGGCGCGGGGCGGAAACGCACCAGGCTGGGTGGGTCGGATCAGGGACTTACCTTCTTGATTTTCTTTTTTTTGTGCTTGCTGCTGCCGTAATCGTCGTCGGCCTCCTCTTTGATACGCTTCTTTTTGTTGGACTTCTCTTTGTGCTCCTTTTTGACCTTCTTGCGCGCCAGCAGGGGAATGTCATCATCGTCATCGTTACCATCATGGTGGGCCCTGTGGCTGCTGCTGTGGCTGTGGCTCTGGCTGTGATCTGGTGCCTCCTGCTTGCGCTTGCGCATGGCCAGGGGTACATCCTCCTCGTCATCGTCGGCATCTTCGTCGACGGCCATCTCCTCATCCTCATCGTTATCGTTATCGTTCATGGTACTATCTTCCTCGTTGTAGGTACTATCCTCATGCTTGACTGTGAACGGTGGCTCATCGGCTCGGAACTGGGACATGGAGTAGTCACAGGAGCTGGCCTGCGACAGATTGAAGCTCTCATCCTCCTTTTTGATAACCATAACATTCTCCTCGTATCCGTTTTTATAGACACCGCCACCGACGCCGATGCCGCTGCCAGGGACATGGCCACCGAGGTCGCCGCTGCTGCTGCCGCTGCTAAGGCCATTGCAGAGTGCAGAATCGGGGACATCCAGCAGCTGCTGCTGCTGCTGTTGCTGTTGCTGGTGCTGCAGATGGAAGAGATCTGCTGTGTGGTTGATGTGGTCATGCGCTGGCTGTGAGACGGGCTCCGGCTTTACGAACACACCATCATAGGAAGGATCCTTCGACTGTGAGGAGGAGCTGTGACGCGAACTGGAATGTTTGCTCTTCGATGAGGAGGACGAGGAGCTTTTGTGACTGCGCTCCTTATCACGGGAGCTTGACGACGAAGATGAAGATTTGTGATCGCGATCGCGATGCTTGTCGCGGCTCGAGGAGCTGCTGCTGCTGCTGCGATGATCCTTATCCTTGTCCCGTCGCTCCTTATCGCGGGACGAGCTCTTGTGGTGCCCAGAAGACGATGATGATGACGACTTGTGCTTGCTGCTGCTGCTTCCATCTTTGTCCCGGTGACTGGACGATGAGCTGCTGCGGTGCGAATTACTGGTGCTGCTGCTGCTGCCGCCACCCTCGCGCTCCTTGTCCCTATGCTTTGACGAGGAGCTGCTGCTGCTGCTGCTCTTGTGCTTGTCCTTGTCGCTGTATAAAAGTCAGAGAGAGCGAGAGAGAGAGGAGGAGACAGAGGTATAGATTTTTGAGTATGATTCCTTGATGGGGGTGTGCATTCACTCCCGTTGCCTCTTACCGACTGCTGCTTTTGTGATCCTTCGACGAGCTGGAACTGGAACTCTTGTGTTCGCGGTCCTTATCACGGTGCTTGTCCTTGCTGGAGGATTTATGTTTGCTACTGCTGCCACTGCCTCCGCCGCTGCTGCTGCTGTGGTGGCTGTTGTGGTGATTATGATGGTGGTGCCCATTGGTGGTCACTCCATTCGATTGCACCTCACATCCGCCGCCGCCACCATTTTGCACGTGGATAGTCTGTAAGGGAGAGAGAGGGAGACAAATGGTTGAGTATGGGTGACGGAAAATTCTGTGGGGAAAAAAAATCAAGAACCTGTATGGCCATCATATCGCTGGGGTGTGTGCCTTCGAAGGAGCTGTGCCTCTCACAAATAAACCATGAACTGATGACTTCTTTATTTAATTATATGTTTTATGTTTTCTTTTGCTAATTCTTTGCCCTTTTCTACGACTCTTTGACTTAATTTTTTATTTTTTGTATGTGTGCCTCCGTCTCCGTGTGCCACCACGTGGTGAAAAATCAACCCTAACAAATTAATGTTTTTCGATTGCTGCTGATGTTATTTGTTGTTGCTGTTGTTGTTACCGCAGCGTAAGAAAATGTTCAATGTGGGAAAAGAAGGGTAAGAAGAAGCAGATAAAGAGCCAAAACGATGGCCGATGGCGACAGGAAATGTTCCTCCTGTGTGTGTTCGTGCCGCTCTCTGAGGTGCTCTTTTTTCATTTGGAATAGGTTAAGACACGACCGACCGCGGCGACAACGACGACGACGATGCCAAACAATGGGCACACACACATTCAGAGACAGTCAAACACACACACACACACACGCACACACACAAACAAACATGCACATATTTATGGACAAGTACATGAGCAGCGTAATGGAATACAGAAAAACGTTTCGTTTCGTTTCATTTTCTGACTCTTTGGAGCATAATTTTTCAACGTGGGCGCTCTGCTCTGTGCATCAGATCAAGGCTACGCACACACACACACGCACACTCGAACACACATGCTCACTGCACTGCAGGGTTGTTGTTGCGATTGTATTGGAATGGGTGGGGGTTAGAGGGGGGGACCGGGACCGGAACCAGGACCACCGCCTGTTCAGGGTGGTGTGTATCAAATGCAGACACACGCTTATCAGAAAAGTTAGAAAATGAATAAAGGTGCAAAAAAAATAAATTGGGACACATTTGCAATTACATATGTACATAAATGAAATGCTATTACAACAACAAACACATGTGATTTGAGTTTATGTGTAGTGTGGCCACACTTTCATGGCAGACAGCCCTCAGAAGTTATTTAATAATTGCAATAGCAGGGTACTTTTCGGGGGTGATGTGACAACCGTCATTTTGATGGGTAGCGGGTAGCGGGTAACGGGTACATCAAAAAGATAAAGAGGGGTTTATCTCGGTGGAAAGATAGGGGTAAAGATCATTGGACGATTCGCAACCAGTTCTGAATTTCCAAAATACCAAAAGCGGTATTTATGTGTGGCCACACTGTGCCAAATACATTTCGACTTCGCTTTCTTCTTGTCTCCCTCTCTCTTTCTCTCTCGCTCGGTCACTCGCTCACTCACTCACTCTCTCGGGACAGCGGCCTTCCTGCTTGCTCTGCGCTACTTGCATTGTCGCCATTTTCGTCAATTACTAAAAGGCCTTTATGCCTTTGCTTTAGCTTTTTGCGTTTGCGTTTGCCCCGATTTCAATGCAATGTGTTGTACGCACACGGGTTTTTATCTCAGCTGTGGGATGAACGGCCCGAGACACTTGCCGATGCGGCGACCCCAGGCACGGCTTTTGGGCCTGGCCCGAGTTCTTGCAATATTCAACACGTTTGCACTCTTGATGCACCATTTAACAAGTAAATTATATAAAAATACAATGCCTCAAAATCTGCCACCTTCCCCCCTACCATACAAAAAATTACTTACATTTTCGGCAGCCACATCCCCACTCATTTTGCACAATTTCTGGTTGGCAGTGCGGCGCTCGGCTTCTTTATATTAACTTCACTCTTTTCTGCTTATCTGCCGTGAATAGTTTTTACTCAACTTATGCGGACATACATATAGATATACGCTATATATTGCTGGAAGCCGAGACACTCCGGTGCTGGTTCGATACGCTTTTTCTAATTTTGATGCGCGACAATACACTACACTGCGAATTTTTTCCTCAAGTCCAAAATAAAACTTAGAAGTGGAAAATCTTTCTCTTTTACAGCGCGCACCAGCCACGCGAACACACACACACACAACACACCTCTCATGTACAAACACACACACGTTCGGATGCAGTGTGACCGCGGCTTTATTGATCAAATATACCGCTTGATCCTCAGAAATATACCGTCTCATTTTCAAAAAATATACCATATACCTATGAAAAAACTAACTTCGCCCACCTAAGCATCATTTAAACGGATAGCAACTTGAGTTAAACCGCGGAAAATATAAAATATAATATATAAACATATATATTAATGAAAAATTATATAATATCCTTCCTCTTAACTTAAAAGAATCCCCACGATATCTTTCACCTGAACTGCGTTAAAGCTACGATGCAAACAATTTGCAGCAATAAAATTTGCACGTTTGAACGCCATTTTGTAGCTCTTTTAAAAGGTTCTGATGCACTCGTTTTTCATCTCTTTTGGAAATCCGCTCTTTCACCCAACACTTTCTTTTTTTTCTGCAAATTGTTTGTAATCGTGTGTACCTAACTTTAAGCTAGAAACCGCAAGATTCATAATTTTCGTGGAGAGTATTTGAATACCCACTGGTCTACAATGGGTTAATCGTTCTTATCCATGATCACAAACCATATTCCTCGACTTTGATATTCGGCTTATGATTACTGGCTAAGAAGGACCATTAGTCCCGAAAGCATAATTTTATTCGATTGATGAACCAACTCTCTACAAGTTTGGCTAATGTAAAATAAGACTTACGCAAAGAATGTCAACAAAAAGTTGCTACATATCATAATAAATGTTTTTTGAGTAAAGGCATTTGTATACCCTATATCTTTAATCTAATTTCGTTGTCCAAACAGCTTGGAAACCTAAGTAATAATGACTCTTTCTCAATTGACTTTCTCTCACATATATGTATATCTCGATCCCGATACCTATTCTTGGTCTCATTACGGCCATACAATGAAAAATTTTGTTGAAATAACTTTAAAATAGAGACCGACAAGTTTCTGCATTTATTGGAGCCTGGGATAACAAACATTTCTTCAATTCTATAACATGCTTTTTCCCGCGGTTTACAGGTCAACAAAAATTTCCACTAAATTAATGTTTTGACATGCTAACTACACGCTAAATACACATTTGCAACATATGTATGTATGTTTTCATCGACACCTAAAGGGTTGAAAAGCTTGTCAGTTTTTTAAAACTTAGAAGAAATATAATAACAATCGATCCTAGAGGTTCACCAGTCAAGCTATATACCGTTTAGAATTTATAGTAAACTAAGTTGAATCCATGAAAAAGTCTATTTCCATACATTTATCATATTTCTATTGGGGGTTAAATAGGTTCTCCGCCAGCTTAAAAGGTGATAACGATCTGTTTTTAGCTCGTTCTATGAACGTAGCTTACAAAAATTGTATGGGTACACTTAAGTCAGAGTTATAGTTGCGTTAATCATTAATAATTTTTTCTGCCTACATTTTAGTATTCTTGAGTATTTTGAGCCAGGAACTGGTAAAAAATTCACAAAACGCATATGTAAAATGTAAAATATTCGATAATTTGGCTGAATGTTGCGAACGTTTTTACCACTGTTGCGGAACTTTTATAAAATTACAGACTGTTGCCAATAATTATTCTATGGGGCAAATAGAGTGACCATACTATTTTAGTGGACAAAAGCAACTACCTGCCGATCTACCGATCAGGAAAGGCACAATATAATATAATTTTTAGGCACAATATAATATGAGGCAGTCCTAATAAGTAGCCAATCTTGAGGACAGCTTATTAATCTATCAGATACAGTTGTCTTCAGGGTGAATCAAAATGGTGAATTGTTTAAGTGAAAAGGAAGGATAGGATAGATCTCCAAGACGAATATAAAACAAGTATTATTTTCCTTGGCTTAGTTCAGGGTTTTCACCGGCTTAAATAGCGGGTGCTTAAGTGGGCTAAGTTCGTTTTTTGTCATCTGTATATGTAAGGTATATGTTGAAAATAAAACGGTATATTTCTAAGGGTCAGACCGTATATTTGATCAGGAGAGTGCTCTCTTCTGCGACGCAAAAATGAGTCGTAATTTTGAATGCGCTATAAAAAAGGGTATGGGCAACAGCCAAAACCAGGAAAAACAAATTGCAAGGTTCGTTCGAACCTCACCTCGCGTGTGAGGTCAATATACTTTGAAGACAAGGTATATTAGGCGAAGTGGTGGGTGGATTTTACCTTATTTTTTTTTGGCGCAACGCAAATTGAATTTGAATCTTTATCGGGCCGCCGCGGACAATGAAGCAACAAAATAGTAGTGTCCGATTTTTTTCTGAATTCAGAAAAGTCCGTTGATAATTTGATAAATCCCACAGCACAAAAATAACTGGGTGCCTTAACGTGTTTCTCCCGATGTGATACCCTATTTGATACCCTTGAATGTGGATGTTATAGAATTGGCGATATTTTGGCGGTTGCTGCGCGCGTCGAACGCGCACGCTGTTTTAAACGTTTTCCCTCGTCCCGTGCATCGTGCAGTGCAGTGCCAGTGCACGTATATGTATATATTTGAAATTATTTTGTTGGTGGTTTTTTTATATTGTTGTTGCCCGGGAGTGTAAATAAGTTCTGTCGAACGGAGGGAGGAGCCCTCATACAATTGTTGCTTTTGTGTCCCCTGCTGGAGTCGTGATTTTCTCGTCTTCGTTTTGTCGATGTCGTGTGTATAAAAAATTGTTAAAAATAATACACAAAAATAAAACGCATACACAAACACACATGCACACACATACATATAGTGTATATGTATATTTGTATTTTTGACGAAAGCGATTTCTGGTTTCGGTGGAGCGCGCGCGACAAAAACAACTCCAATATGCGGCGGCCGGCCTTCATTGGAGAATATTAAACCAAACAATAAATTATACATATGTACGTGTATGTATATAAATAAGCAGAAACCGAAGCTGAAGAGATACGATACCCACAAAAACAAAAAGCAGAGAAGCATAGCTCCACTCCACGGATGATCTCCATGGCCCCGGGGGCCGATCTCAGCTGTTAAGAGCCCCAACCGACGAATAAGGCTAAAACAGAGATAATCGCTAAATATTGATATGAAAAAAGAAGCTGAAAAGAGTGGCCCATCGATAGAAACAATCATTTCATAGTGTTGTGTTGTTATTTTTTTGGTGTGTGGTTGTTCAAACATTTCGTTTTATATGGGGCAAGTGCAATACCCACACAAATATGCCACAATAAACAACAAAACTGGCTTCAATTCCCGCAAAATCAATAAATATCCAAAATAAATCTCAAAACAACAAAAAAAAGGAAAAACATCCCCATTCCCAAATCAAAGAGTCGATAAGAGGCCAACGGTGAATGAGAGAGAATTTTCCCACTATCAGCCAGAGAGTGAGAGAGAGTGGGAGACGGAGCGGGAGAGCAAAAGCCGGGTGTACTCAGCATCCATCC